ACTGGTGACTGGGAGTGGCCGCCAGGACCACATAACACCAGTTCTGAGAGATCTGCATTGGCTCCCAGTATGTTTCCGAGCACAATTCAAAATGTTGGTGCTGACCTTTAAAGCCCTAAACGGCCTCAGTCCTGTATACCTGAAGGAGCGTCTCCACCCCCATCGTTCAGCCCAGACACTGAGATCCAGTGCCGAGGGCCTTCTGGCGGTTCCCTCATTGCGAGAAGTGAGGCTACAGGGAACCAGACAGAGGGCCTTCTCGGTAGTGGGGCCCGCCCTGTGGAACGCCCTCCCATCAGATGTCAAAGAGATAAACAATTACCTGACATTCAGAAGACATCTTAAGGCAACCCTGTTCAGGGAAGTTTTTAATATGTAACACTGTACATTTTTTTTTAACACTTGATTGGGAGCCGCCCAGAGTGGTTAGGGAAACCCAGCCAGATGGGCGGGGTATAAATAATAAATTATTATTATTATTATTACATTTAAAATGCTTCCCCCAAAGAATCCTGGAAACTTTAGTTTGTTAAGGGTGCTGAGCTCTAGGGAACCCCTTAGGAACTGCTGGTCCATAAATGCCTTGTGAGGGTACTTCCTCCCTAAAACTCCATTTGTTTTCCATGGAGCAGCAGCTGTAACTGGGGGAAAGGATGGATACGCAAAGTTATTCCAGCATCTGGGAAAATGATAGGAATCATCTGAGAAACTGATTTACTGTGTCAGTTTCACGAGTAGAGAGGAGTCCTTCTCTCAATTGTGAGTTTCAGTGGAGATGGGGAGAGGGATACTGCAAATGAAAAGGCTTCCCCTCCATACTTTCATACAATTGAGATTAAAATGTGGAGGTTAATCGTAACATTTAAATGTATAGAACCAACTCCAAAAATAGTGGGTGGAGCACTAAAAGTGCTTCCAAAGCAATGCATCTGCTCACAAGTGAAACAAATACAGAGGAAGGTTGAAAGAAGATGCTAAATCTACCTTCATTTATTGATTTTAAAATCAAATGGTGTTTTGTTTTGGTTTTTTAAAAAAGGTTAAAAAATTATTTAAACCTGATCTCCTGACTTGGCACATGCATAGCAACAATGGCTTAGTGTTGTGTGGAAAAATGCTCTAATGTCCATTCTCCTCTTCCAGAGTGGCCACAAATAGAAGATCAGCATTTTTTAAGTCTGAACTCAGACAAAGCCCCCCACTCCATAATGACACAAACTGGAAAAACCTCTGGAGAAACAACCCAATTGCAGAATATGTTGATGCTTGGATGCACACCACTTCATATCGATGGGGAAAGAAATTTTAACAACGAACTAAGTGCAAACACCTCTTGTCACGCTGGAAACCAATTTGGATTTCACAGCACCTTATCAATATAGTTTAAGTTAATTCCTTTCTGAAGTCACATTGCTAAAAGGCACAGATCTAGGTATATGTCTAATCTATTTAATTAATGTGCTGTGACTTTCCTGTGTCAAGATGCATTTCCATTTTGGAAACTCATTAGTCATTCCATTACAAATTTCTTTGCAGTGACAAGGACTAAATAACAAGAGAGTCTTGAAGCACCTTAATGACTAAGGGTGGTATCCAACAGTGATGGTTTCCTGGAGGAAAGAATCTATCAGAGGAATGGGAAGGTAGGGATATTTTGGAGATCTAGCATCCCTATTCAGTGCCCTGTGCTTCCCTTAAATCGGCTATGGGGGGTTGGGGAGAACTACTGGAAGTTTTTTGGGGCACATGGAGTGCATATACTTCTGATATAAATTATGATTCTTCCTTCCAACTCAAATGCGAATGAATACATAATGGTGGTATGGGAGGAATCTCTTAATTCTCTTATTTACCTCTAACAGTCAGTTAGAGACAGATAGTGTTTGCAGGCAGTAAAAAGCAATTTTGTGGGCAACTCACTCCAGAAAAAGGAAGATACCTATTATAAAAGGATTGTCTTTATTCCACGTAGAATAGTTGGCTTTCTATTTTTCAATATGGTTGTTACATGGGATGTGTCTGGATTTTTTAAAAAAATATTTCTCCATTTTTCTCTCTCCCAAGTATTTTACTTAGACATCTTGGACATGTTCAATAAAACCCTCTAGACTATCTTTCTAAAGCCACATTCACAATGTATGTTCAAAGCACTGTGGAAACCGCTTTAAAGAACCATGGCTCCCCCTCAAAGAACTATGGGAGCTGTCGTTTGTTAAGAGGGCTGAGAGTTGTTAGGAGACCCCCTAGTCCTCTCATGGAGATGCAATTCCAAAAGTTGCTTATGAAGAGGGATTGGAAATTGGAGCTCTGTGAATAGAATGAAGTCACCTAATGACTCTCAGCACCCTTGGCAAATTCTTTGTGGGGAGCCATGACTGTTCAGTGTGGTATCATAGGGCTTCAAATGTAGGATGTGAAAGTGCCCAAGTATGCTCTATTAATTTTGTCGTCACAATGAAAAGCCTCACAGTACAGAGCCAAACAGGACATGGCATGGGGAAAACTGTGAAACTGTTTTTAAAGCAGCTGCACGGGAGGCCTCATACAGTGTGGTGGTGCTGGAGGGAGCAGCTAATATTTTCTCCTATGCTCTGTGCTAGTTACCTCACAGGGCAAACCCTGCAGGCACCTGCGTGATTGATGACCTGTGTGTTTTGGCAAGAGTGGGCAGCTTGAACCGCCTTAAGGAAAATGTGACGAAATGGCATGCGTGGCGAAAAAGGGTTCGCCCCTGCTTCTGCCAGTGCTTTGGCCCTGCTCAAATCATCCTTTCCTCACAGCTGCTCTTGACACTTTTGGGGGGAAATGTGGGCTATCCTGTTCATTGATCCCCATCACGTCTAGTTTGGCCCTTCGCAATTGGCTCCACAAGAACAGACTCTGTTCCTTCATCAAGCTTATTCTAGTATAATTTATTAGCAGAATCTTCTCTCAGCACCTGCTCATTACTCTGCTCTTCACAGCAGCAACCACCTGTGTTCAGTGACAGTTTTTTCCTTTCTCTGGTTACACCGTAATTGGTGTTTTGTCTGGGCTATAGGGCATCTGGGTTACATAGCTCCCCAGCTTCTCATTAGGAGAAATGACTGCTTAATGTAGTGGATATCCCAAAGGGAAGCAAAAATACATCCAGAATCCACATGTAAATGACCTGAGGGCACAGCCATCCTTTGGGACAATATACCTTGTCAGGTATGTCATATATTTCCCTGCTATTACTTCCCCTCTCTGCTTCTTTATGAAAAGCATAGGCAGTAGAATACACCTCTGGTTTTTTCCCGGTGAGGCATATATAGGAATCGTGTATTAATGGTGGCTTGCATCTGGAATGCATGGTGGGTCGCTCTCGGAGCATATATGATGATGTGGCATTCAGATTCTGTGGGCTGAATGCTGCATTTTGCTGTTCTCTTATTTTCTCAGCTGCTTCTGGTATGGGAACTGTCTGGTCTTCAGAAGATATTATCATGAAGCAGGAAGGGAAATATATGGTCTCTTAATTTGGTCGCACACACTTATATTTCTCTTTTGTGAGAGATCCAGTTACCTTGTTTCTGTAATGACTTCTTCTCTTGAGGCTTTCTGTGTTGTCTATGTTATCTATGCACAACTGAGCAAAATATCACTCTGTTTATACATGTATCAGTTACAGGAACAATAGTGAAAATATATTCAGACCATGACCTTGCTTTTGCTATCTGCATACCAACCTCATAGTATTGTCAGCACATGTCATAGTTTTGCATACTATTTTGTAGCTGAGGATGTATTTTACACAGTAATTGCTCTGTGGTGTGAAAACAAAACATCACTAATTTATGAAAAAAATCACATTCAAAATGAGTCTGTGACTTTAGCTATTTCCCCCGGGGAACGTTTGGCTTAATTTTGAATTAGATGTTCTTCTGCATCCTGAATTGTCTATTGCAGCCAAATCCAAAATCTTATTCCATTAAGGACTGGGAAAGTGCCTATTTAAAATTGCACATTATTTCATAAATAAGATAAGGCATCCTGACTTTTATTTCTTCTTTGCTCAAGAACAATGGGGTAAGAATAGGGATGGGCACATCCATTGTTTTTGGCTTCTAATTTTTTCCAGTCTGAAGTTCAGTTTTCCACATTTCCATATGAGCTTGCAAATCAATTTTCCACAATAAAATGCATTTTTGTATGTTACTTTCACTACAATGTGCATTTTTATGCTCATCTGCCCTGGGCTGTGTATATTTGTACACATTACTTGACTGGAGAACTGCATTGCAAAATTCAGAAAACTTTGAAGAATAGCTGCATTTAGGTCCATGCATTGTTTCAATGACTTGGCTGAAACTTTTGCAGGGATTCCAACAATTCTGGACTGTGGTGCTGGAGGGAGTGCCCAAGACGCAACCATTTTCAGTGGAGTTGGTTCAAGCATTCAGCTGCAAAAGCATCAAGTGTGTTCCTGAGTGATATGCACGCAGGAGAGAATCTGTTCTTGGTGTGGTATAGCAGCACCTGCTATGGAAAGCAATTTCCCAGTCAGGTGCACTGGATGTAGACCAAGGTCATGTACTAACAATTTAGTTACTACAAAGGCATAACTGAACATGGATCAAACCAGTACAGCCAACAGTTTAGATCAGGAGTTCCCAAACTGTGGTTCCTGGGCCACCAGTGGTTTGTATGCTTCATTAGCTGGACCACGGCATGTGCACATTAAATACTCATTATGGGTTTTAATTGTATTTTTATAACTTCTTGGTGTTTTGTTTTATTTTATTGTATTGCAATTTGAATTTTGCAGAATGCAAATTGCAAAACAATAGAGTGCAATGTATAAGAAATAAAAGATGAAGCGGGGGGAGGGACAAAAGAATACTGCGTTTGATTGATGATTTAAATGATAAATCTATGTGGGGATGGGGAGGATGTGGGGATGGCTTTGGTATATTTGCACTGTGATGTAATATAGAAAAAAACCATTTTTTTAAAAAAAAGATTTACTCCCATCATTTCAAAAGGATAAAGGTAGCATTTAATATAGCAATCTAAAATTTGCAATACGACAGTAGTGAAAAAGCTACTATCAAAGCAAAACTACATTTGTAGAGTGGCTACCATTTTAAATAAAGTATCTGGCTGGACAGAAATGCAGACATAAGTATAAGAATTAAATAAGGTCTGTGTTTACAAGCATGCATACTGACACCATACAAATGTATGCCCTTTGCAGGACACATAGTCCCTTCATGACGATAGGTAGTGATAGCAACCAATAGCTACCTCAAGTTTAAGCGACCTTGCTGTGTTTTCATTATACACTCATTTTCCCTTTGTACATTACGAAGGCTCCCTGTCACACACACCTGTTAGATGCTCCAGGGAAGACAAACTACTGAAATGTAGCAGATAACATTAATCTCTCTTATTATAACCAGCTCTACAGGGTTAGTAACAGGATAATTTTAATACAACGGATCAGAATATTTCTGGTACCAATAACATGAAGGCTTTAGGTGCCACTTATCCTTGGGAGCAAGGAGCTGTCTCCTGGATAAGGCTTGCTTAGAAATTAGATGAGAGATTACAGAACTTCCCAGAAGTATCATACCCAATTTCACAATTCAAAGTGAGAGAATGAACAAGTGGCAGAACACAGGTTGTATACAGATAAGGTCTCAAGTTTGAATTTCTGGAATTTCCTGTGGAGCAGGGCTCATGGTCTGAGAAAGACACAGGCCACAGACCCCAGAGATGTGTTCAAGACCCACTGCAAGTCACTGCTGACAGTGCATGGGCTCTGTAATGGCTCCTCATATCTTCAATTGTCTTTTATTCTTCCAGCTTTTTACACATTTCTGGATTGTGGAGAACTTTGTGCTTTGGTGTTGTAGCTTTTAAGCCCTCTGGGTGGTAACAGTCACAATGCATTGTGGGTGGCCTGTTGCTCAACAGGAGATAACCAAAGAGTTAGCCAAGGATTGGTGACCTGGAGTTTTCTCATGCGGTTTGCTTTGAATGAGTTCACAGGCAGTCAGTTCATGGTAGAGGGTATCTAAGACTTCAATGATATGTGGTTTTCCTTTAAAACAGAAAAAAATGCAAATAGTGAATTGGAAGGTTAACAAAACAAAGACGAAGCAGTATGAATATCAATAACATGTCCTTTCTTACAAAACGTAGGCATAATTGCCAAAATTTAATGCAGACTTTTTGAAGGACTGCATTGTGAACACATTCTTGTTCATATCAAAGTGAAGCAGAGTGGAGCAATCTTCAGTTATCTTGGTTGCTCCTTCTGCTTCACACACTGTGGTCAGTTAATCCACATCCTTGAACACACAAAGATGAGTTTTGAAATGTGTCTGTCTCTGTATGTTGGCAGTGTGCTGTAAGGCTAAACCCCCTGAAGCTGTAGTCACAAATAAATAGCCACAGATAAAGCCTTTGGGCTGTAAAATTAATCTCATGCCTAAATCAAAGTTGAGTTCCCACTACAATGAGAGAAAATTGCTAACCAAATCCACCTGGTAACGTTTGATTGTGAGTGCTTCCAATCGGGTGCTGAATATTGCAAATGGGTTAATCAGATTTTGCAACCCAGTCATTGGCAACATGGGTTTTTTTAATAGATACAGTAGCTTATCTAGTTTTCCATGGAATGGGTAAGTCCAGATAAAATGGGGGGAAATATGGGCTGGAATTTTAATGCCAGCGATGTCCTGCAGATGCTTCGCACGAAGATTTCGGGATGCAATTTGTGCAGTAGTGAGTACAAAGAAAGTTGATGTTGCAAATGAGGCAGACTTAAAATAGAATGCTTGTGGGTTGAGTTTCTTTTCATTTGTGATGCAGAGAATTCTGTTGGGGAAAGAAGTGGGGAGGAGAGGGAAGTAAGGGAAGAAATGGGAAGTAAGGAGGGAACTGCACTGTAAGCTCCACAGAGGACTGTTGACAAAAGCAGTAGACCTCCAAGAAATTCAAGGTGCATGCATGCTCCTCACAAAGCTACAATTCCCAGATTTCCCTGGAAATGTGGACTGATCGTCAAACAGCTCCAAGGATTGTAGCTCTGTGAAGTGTATAGGGGTCTCCTGACACTTCTCAGCCTTAACAAACCACAGTCCCCATGATTCTTTGGGGGAAGCCATGTCTGTTTAAAGTGGTATGATACAGATTGAAATGTATAGTGCAGACAGGGCCAATGTTACAATTCCCAGCAACCAGCAACAGTGCCTAGAATTCTTTGAGTGTAAAATGTGTTCTGAATGTGCTTTAAAGGTACAGGGCAGGATTTAATTAAGGAGCCTCATCAGCATAAGCCCTGCAAAGGGACTTCCACTTGTGCAGTGGGCCTTTTCCTGTTCTCTTCCCCCTGCAGGCCCCTAAATTGCCTAAATGGGGCAGGATGGAAGAACCCCTAGAACAGCACACAGGAGGGGGAGGAGGGTGGTCATTCTGCCTGGGGAAATGCTTGGCCTAACAATCACCTTAGCATCATGTTGAACTCTTCCCATAGCGTCTTCTCAGCTTAAGTCTCCTAAAAAATTCAAAGAAATTTCTCTTCCATGCCACTCCCTCAAGAAAACAACAGAAAACCAGGCCTCACTTTTGTAGGGGGCAGGATATTTTTAGAGTAGGGAGGGGATTTTGGCACAACCTTAGTTTATTTGCCATTTATTGAAGGACTCGTATTGAAGGGCTCAAATATCCAAATGCCTAGCACTGAGGGACAAGGAATCCCTGTTGGAGACAAAGAGATAATGAAAAACAAAACAAAAAAACCCTTCTGTATGCCTTAATTCCCTCCCATTACTTGCATTTAGATCATTCAGACTAAATTTCGAATCGTTATCTCATATATTTTCATCCATTCTTCAACCCATTTTGCTCTATGAAAAGCTCTGCCTTTCCCTGCAGACTGTCCATGTGCAACATGCCAGTTCCCTCTCAAGGAGGTCAATGCAAAAACTTTGCAATTAGAAACCAAGTAATCAAATAAAACCCATCAGGTCATAAAGGTTCTCGTAACGACAGCTTATGCACAGTGGGGCTACCGCCCGAGGAGAGGACTCAGCAGATTTAGGCTTTGCATATGAACATGAAAGGTTATTACAGAGAAGATCTGACCCACTTCCTTCACTAAAGGATGCTACTTTCCGCTATATTCTCTTTTGTTACACTGTAGGGAGGAAAGAAACTTTTATGCAGTGAAGAAAAATTAGCCTAGAGGGTGTGTTCTATTTTCTCACATATCTGTACAACCCCAATGAAAAGGAATAGGTTGAATATGGATTTGGGCAAAGCTTACAGTCAATGATAAAAAGACTGAGTGAGAGGGAGGTGTCTCCAGTTATGCACAAAGTTCATACTAATGGCAGATTCTACTTATGTTTCCATTTTCATGTAATTTCAAAGATGGGAAGACCTTCGATTTAATAGATGTCTTCAAGTAACAATTCCCCGTCTCTCAAAGCACAGCAATGGTGAAATTAAGATTTTATTTATTTCTCACCAAAAGTGTCAAATGACAAAAAGCATCTCCCCTGCAACTTGCTTTATGTTAGGACAGCAATTAGACATGCTGACCCTCTAAACAAAAGCAGGAAGTGGTGCCTTCTCTATCAAGGTTGCTACCTCATTTGCCTTCCTACATCCTACAGCCCTAATTGCTGCTCACCCATCTCATCTTTTCTCTTGCCCAACTATCAGAGAACGGTCATGGGGGTCTTTATTAGCTCTATCCTTTGACCAATGCCTGAGCTCATAGAAAACCTTGCTTATCAGCAGGTGCTTAGATGAATTTCCTTAACTGGACCTATCCCTGACTCTCAGGAGTGTAACATCTTCTCTTTATCTCAGGGATGGGGAAATTATGGTCCTTCTGATATTCTTGTACTCCCAACTCCCACCATTTCTGGCCATTGGCCATGTTGGCTAGCTATGATGGGAGTTGTGAGTCCAACAACATCCAGATGGCTACAGCTTCCCCATACCTTCCCTAGCCATTTCTGGGTATCAAAAGAATGTACCAGGCAGTGCTGGAATGAAAAGTCTCTTCCATCCACTGCAATAGCAAAATCATGCTCCCCTCCAAATTGCTGCTCTAGGCGGCCTCTCTATGGACAGTGACACCTAATGGCAAGGCTCTCCATGCATGGCTTTACTTGCTTACCATGTTCTGGGTCACAGCAGGATTCCAAAGTGCTCAGTAAGATTTTCCCCAAGGCGCGCTTAGATATGTTCTTCAAAACACAAAATATTAGGGAACATTTAGCTTAGAGGCACACTACTAAAGAGAAAGCGCATTAGTAATCCCTAAACAAAAAAGGAAACTTGGTCTCCCTAAACAAAAAAGGAAACTCAATACAATATCTAACAAAAAAACCCCCACCTCATATTCATTTTTTTGTTTATTTAAAAGATCTGTACTGTGCCTTTTCCTTACAAAAAGCTAAAGACTGCTAACTATAAACTGGCAGAAACATGATTTATTTTTAGCATTCTTTTATTCTTTGTCATGTTTTGACCAAGAGATAAATTCTAGAGTGCAGTTTCAGAGAGTAGTACCTATGCAATGATGCATGGAAACACCTGGGTGCATGGTTGTACACAACAAAGAATGCAAGCAGAGGATATGGAATAAAAACAGCATTCAAAGTGATTGTGGGCTAATGCATAATACTAATGGCAGTTTAAGCAAATGTGTAAGTGGATAGCATATCAATTTGCAATGGAATAAGTGAGTCCAGTTCACATATGGCCTCAGCACATGAGTTTTGTGCACATGAGGGTTTAGCCTACCACATCACTTGTAAAACTTGTAAAGTATATATAAGGAGGCCTCTCATGTGAACCTGCTACCTGTTTTGGGGGCACTACATGGCAGAACAGAGTCTCAAACAAAGACGTGCTCTCCCAAGCCCACATTCCCAGCACGTTTGCACTTGTGTCTCAGCGACATCTATGCTGACTTGGTTATGTACACAGAATGGAAGATAGCAGGATCCCCAAGGACATGCTCTATGGGGAGCTGGCTTCAGGCACCAGGCCTGTTGGCAGACCAACTCTGCATTACAAAGATGTCTACAAATGTGACATGGAGGCTGGAACATCAACCCCACTGTGTGGGTATCCCTTGCAGACGACTGGAGTGCCTGGAGACAGACAGTCAGGTTGTGTATCCACAGCAGTGCCCAGAGGAGAAATGACAGCTGAGAGGAGTGCAGAGAGAAGAAACGCCATGGTGCATCTGTAACAGTGAAACCAGACACTTTCATCTGTCCCACCTGCAATAAAACATGTCTCTCCCATTTGGTCTCTACAGCCACAGCAGGCACTGTAACTCTCCAACAGTTTGACTTTACCCCCGATGGTGCACTCTTCCATTGTCTCTCGAGACAGATGGATGGAAACAATGGATATCTGAACACAGCTTATCCATATGTGATCAAACTGTATTACAGTGGTACCTTGGGTTAAGACCTTAATTCGTTCTGGAGGTCCGTTCTTAACCTGAAACTGTTCTTAACCTGAAGCAGCACTTTAGCTAATGGGGCCTCCCGCTGCCGCTACTGCGCAATTTCTGTTCTCATCCTGAAGCAAAGTTCTTAATCCGAGGTACTATTTCTGGGTTAGCAGAGTCTGTAACCTGAAGCGTCTGTAACCTGAAGTGTCTGTAACCCGAGGTACCACTGTATTTTGGCTGGCACCGAGATAACAGAGGAGTGAAAAGCAGAAATACATGAGTCATAGGCAGCAACAGATACTCTGAGGCGCAGAAGCAAGGACTGGACCTCATGAGAGTGAGGAATTTTTCAGGACGCAGAAGTCCTCTCGAAGGCAGCTTTGATGTTTAGAAACCCCCCCAGCCCCCCTCATCTTCAAATATTCCTATCCATCAGTGAAAGCAAGAAATGAAACCGTTCTCCCTCAGGGTTACAAGAGTGCCATTCAGTTTCATGTGAGAGAACAATAGCTTTACCGATTCCCAAGACCCTAACAATGTGGGGGCATTCTGTGCATTCCCCCCAGGGTGCTGTAATTCACCCTATTCATTGACAGATCTTATCACCATCTAGAGCTACAATATATGACAGCATACAGGACTCATGACACTGTTCTCAGAGTGGTGTGACACACTGTTTGATGGATCGTCTGCTAAGCCGAGATGACTTTCAGTGAGACTGCTGGTCAATGAGGGACATGTCACAGAATCCTGACACAGAACGCAGCAATGCTTTCTGCCAATCATAATCAGTCATGGCGCTTTAATAGCGTATCCTTCGTGGGATTGTTATTGATCCAAAGAGCAAGCACTGCCACACTCAGGATATGAAGGCTCGGCCGAGCCGGGCAGCGAGTTAACATAATAGAAAAAAGCTACACTTACTCTGGAGAGCCTCCAGAAGCATGGAGGCATATTTCAAGCATGATAAAGCAATCATCAAGTCAGTCACATTCACAATAAATAACAGCTTTGCATGCATTTAAAAGCAAGAGGAGTGAACTCCAGACACAGATCCAGAGCAGGTCCATTTGCTTTGTTCAAATGGTTTTAAAAGACCTTGCTTCTCACAGTCACCATGACTCCAGTCCTACGAATCAATGAAAGCAACTTTTTAAAATCATCTACTCTTAACGTCTTGTTGTATATATAATATTTGTACAGCTTGTTATATGTTTGCTGTGCTAACAGGTGAAACCAAAATCATATGATCACTAAATGCCCTAGGATGCTTTCAGGTAAATACATGTGTCTTCCGTTCCACTAAAGGAGGAAATCCATGCCATGCTGTGTCTACTGTTCTGTCAGCACAAGCAATTTCAGCCTGCCAGATGGAACAATTGTGCACAGAGAAGGGATGGGGAGAAGTTCGATTCAGCTTGAATTTAGAGGCGTATCTGTTATATTTGCACTTCCTGAAACAATTATGAGAACTGAAACACAATCATCCTTCAAAATTCCATATTTTGTGACACAGATCTCCAACCAATGCTTATAAAAAATACACACATTGCAAGTAAGTGTGCATAAAAAATGAATGTAGTAGTGCAACTAACATACCAACTGTGCTACATTAGGTAAAATAGCTTGCAAAATGTGTACATTGGTCAAAACTGCCTGGGATTGAATCTGGGACCTTCTACATGCAAATTATCCCAAGCACAGATTATCCCATGAGATCACCCACTCACTTGCCTGCCTGGATAATTTTTTTAAAGTTTTATTGATTTCCTACCCCTACCCTCAAGTATATCATAATTCATGCATTCACATGAGCATTCATACAACCTTGTGGGAAGGCTCCCTTCCTTGCTTGGGTAGATATTTCCAATATTCTTTAAAACACTTTAAAAAAATGATATGCACAGCTTCTGTCTAGCACATAAATCAATCTCTCTCTTTCTCTTTCTTTTAAAAAAAATCTTTAGGAATAACATTAACTAGAATGGTAGCTGCTTACAACCTGATCAAGCCAATTACCCACCTTTTAATATAGACATGTAAAAGACTAAAACAGGAAAGTGAGCAGACTTTCCCTCATTGTAACCCCCATTTTCTGCATGTTTGTACAGCATTGATGCTGGGTCAGGTCTAGCACTTCCATGGTTGTGCTAATGATGAAGCTGCCACCACTATCATTGCTTTTTTAAAAAGCAGGGTTGGAGAAGTTGTGATTCTCACAATGCTGATTTCCGTGCAGGGTGTCAAAGGGGTGTGCAATCCCCTTTCAACTGCTTCTTCCCTGCACTCCTCCTTATGTGCTTGCAGTGGGTGGGAGAACAATGATGGGAGGAAGGGAGAGCAGGGGTAGAAGATTTAGAACTCCCTCCCTGTCTATTGCTCCTTCCATCTACATCACATAATAACTTAGGCCAGGAATAGCTCAGTTGGCAAACCACGAAACTCTTAATCTCAGAGTCATAGGTTTGAGCCCCACATTGACAAAATATTCTTGCATTGCATGGGGTTGGACTAGATGACCCTTGTGATTCCTTCAAACTCTACAACCCTGTGGTTCAAAGGCAATGAGAAGTTCCTCCCCTCTTCGGATGTTCACTTTCCCACTTTCCCAGACTTGGGTCTTCTCCAAATGTATAGTTTTGCCCCACTCACACTAAACATTTGCATAGCAGCTTTAAGTGTTCAAAGCACTTCGCATGGGTTAACTAGTTGCAATCTTTACAACAACCCTGCAAAGTCAGACAGTATTATTATATGTGGGGGCTGAGAAAGAGTGCCTAAGGCCACCTAGCGAATTCATGGCAGAGGTGAGATCCAAACCAAGGGCTTCCTGATTTGCAACTCAGTCTTTTAACTGTGATGCTACGACAGTTCACATGAAGTAGCCTTGTTAAGAAAGCTACTCGCAAGAAGCTTTCCCTCTGCACAGACACACCAATCAAAAACTCTCAAGCCCTGGTATCAACTGCTCTGAATGGGGAAGCAGATTAACAGTTATTTTAGATCAATCTGAAGCAATCTCAGACCTAAACCTTCCTTAGGAGAGAGAGAGGATGAATATCTCTGATGGGAAAGCTATTCATCTGGATGTTTGGGCTGTCATTTCCTAATGCAGCCATGCGCTGCCAAGCTTTCCTGCAGCAAACTCAAAATGACACTGGATGTGGCCACCTAATGGAAAGCTCATGGAAAGATACAAGGTTGTGTATCCATACGGAGGGTCAGGGTCCAGACTCTCAGCTACCTCCCACTATTTTCTTGCCATACCAGGTCCCGAAGTTGCTGAAGCAGCTGCAAAACATCCAAGAGCTTTTCTTCCACCAGGGACAGCCTTACTCTCTCTGTCTCCAACATCTGCATCTCCATCTTCAGCAATTCAGTCTCCTCCAACTTCTGCTGCAGTTCCCCTAGCAATGGGCCTTTCATCTGGACAACGATAGATGACATGAAAAGTACTGGAGCACAAGCATTAAATGTATTCCCCAACTCTTTAATCAGCGGTAAATGCCCATTATGAACATGAACTTAATTTTGCCAAGTGGAAAGTGTCACTAAAGGATATAGTGAGTAGGAAGTAAAGGCAAAGATCCGCATTCTGGGCCTTTACTGTGGTGGCTTCCTGATTGTGGAATGCTCTCCCCAGAAAGACTCACCTGGCACCATCATTATATGTCTTTAGGCACCAGGCAAAAACATTCCTCTTTACCCAGGCTATTAAATAATCTATGGCCTGTAAAAGTATTTGGGAGAGGACTGTTGTTATTATGACTATCTTATTATTAGGCTGCCTGTCAGTATGCTTTTTATTGTGTTTTTATCACGGATGTTCTGCAACGTGTTTTTAATGTTGTCTACCGCCCTGGGATCTTTTGATAAAGGGTGGTATACACATTGAATGAAAAAATAAATAAATAAATAAACAAACAAATAAATAAATAAATGGGAATTTCATGGGCTGTTTAACATAGCCAAGATCATCTGGGGATTTCAGGTTTTCTGAGTGTGCCTTGTAGGTTCACATATATTTTCAAAAGGAAGCAATACAGATAGGATTGACCTCTTCCACTACCAATTCTGTCCCATGGCTTTTATTGCACCTGTATGCCTGGTGGTTCCGCTGTAGCAGAAATAAAATCAAGATCTCAGCTGGTGTTTTTCATTCTCCTTGAGCCATTAGTATTTTGCAAAGCCCTTACTTAACTAAACACATGCTTCACTGCACTCCTGTGAAACGCTTTTGATTGCTTAAAGTTTAAGTGTATGAACCATTTAGCAGGAGAGAAAATATTGGCATATACATTAACTTCAGGGGACCACCTGTGTGATCAAGTTAAACATGCACTTTAGAATTGGTTGCCTCTTTCTTTTAAGAACATAGTCAAGGGCTTCACTGAACTGAAGGTCATGTCAATACCCACTTCCACCCAGCTGGGTCTAAGTAAACATCTTTGTCACCAAAATATTCATTTCCTTCACACACGCACATGCCTAACCATACCTACTCTGAAGTAAGTCCTAGTGAATTCAATGGGGCTTATTTCCAGGTAAGTGCAGTTTGCAGTGTTAATGTTAAAATGCAGGAAGCAGAGCAATTCCACTGAATCTTGGCACCTGTGCTGAATACAGTGGTACCTCGGGTTAAGAACTTAATTCGTTCTGGAGGTCCGTTCTTAACCTGAAACTGTTCTTAACCTGAGGTACCACTTTAGCTAATGGGGCCTCCCACTGCCGCCGCATGATTTCTGTTCTCATCCTGAAGCAAAGTTCTTAACCCGAGGTGCTATTTCTGGGTTAGCGGCGTCTGTAACCTGAAGTGTCTGTAACCCGAGGTACCACTGTAATTCAACACACAAGCTTCATCTTGAATCTTCTGTGTGGTCACAAGTTCCATTCAGTTTAACAGCTAATCATGGGGCAATGCTCTTGAACATGGACCAGTTCGTGCTCTATTTCAGCAATACTGTCATTATTATTTTTAAAGGAGAAATATGTTCCCCAAAACTGTGACAGCTTGCCTATTTAATGAGGACACTTCCAGACAAGCTGTTTATTCAGCATTTATATGGGGAGGTATCCAACATAGTGCCGTGGTAATAATTCAAGCAGCACAAGCATTTAAGCTTGCCAGATGGAATGATCCCCCCACTCCCCTGTGTTGTTTTAGGGGCTCTCCTGACCCTTGTGGAGCCAATTTGTGCAACATAGGAGCACAGGGGGAAGAGAGGGGGTATGCCCCCTTGCACTAGCATAAATCCTTGTGTGGGCTTCCACTAGTGGGGCTCATCAGTTGAATCCCACCCACAGGTATGTTTGCAGGAAGATTAGACAACATTGCATCAAGCAACTGTTGTTCCAGGCTTTCCAATGCATTTCCTCATCACTTTCCTTCTTGCAAAAAGGCCAATTTAGAGTGAGGTGGGGAGGGGAACCATGTTGGTTGCACAAGAGCTCCAAATCAACTTTGTGACAGGTCAAATGTGCCTCACAGGCCCCCCAAGGTTGTTAAACCATGTCTTAGGCTAGGGCAAATGCTCCTTCTCAGCTCCTCTGTCAATCTGCAGCATGGGTAGAGGACATCTGCCAAACAGTGATTTCTGCACTCCCATTTCCACATGCATTTCCAATGCATCGAAACACATAAACAAATAGTTGCCCTCAGCGTTTGTCTGTATCAGATTCGCCTCCAGGGAAGTAGCTATGATTCCCAAGAACAGTGTGACTCTGTGGTAGATTACTTTCACTGCACTCCCCCTCCCCCAACTTGGTCTAGCAAGGTTATTTTCCTATTCACTACTGACACATTACAAGAGAGGTGTCCCCAAATCCAGAATCCATTTCAAAGTCTATATTTCCCTCTATCCATTAAACCAGTAGTAAGGAACCTTTTTCAGACCAAGGGATGTGTTCTCACATTTATGGACCATCTCCTGGGGCCCACAACAGTAGGCAGAGATTAGGGATGCAAGACTGCCTGTTTTGGTTCTCTCGCTTCTCATTTTTCAAATCTTAAAATCAGTTCTCCACATTTCTGCAGGAAATTTTCATTTAAAACAAAAAAAAACTCTCATGAAAATTCCACGGCACTTGTGTGCATATTTATCCTAATAAACACATTTTTGACTAACGTACGCATTTTTGCAAGCAATCACTCCTAATACGATGCATGTTTGTAAGTTTTTAAAGTAATATATTCATTCCTGTGCACTAATGTTCACACACACACACACACACACACACACACACACCCCATTGGTTGGAGAACTACGTAGCAAAACCTGGATATGCGTGAATTTTGATGGATTGTTTTGGTTTGGTTTGCGTATTGTTTCAGAGAGTACAAATCCAATAGATTTGATTCAAACTGAATCTCTCTCCTGTCCCCAGCAAGGAGAGGCAGATAGGGTGGAACCACAGGAGTGGTCTGTAGAAGGATCTGGCCTGGACAGAGTCCCAAATGCCAGCCAGAGAGGCCAGGAGGACTGCATTTGCTTCACGCAAAGCAATTAACAGGACAACACACCAAGACCCTCAAAAACTGTGTCCCTCTTTAGCCACGCTGTCGGATCTCTTGAGCTTCAATTCAACACATGCTTACTTTGACTGTGTGAATATTCCACAGTGTTCTCTATTCTCCACCTGTTTCTCCTTGTTTGGAACAGATAAACAAAGGCAATTACGAGCTCTCTTGCAAGTATCCACTAGTCCTCAGCTTATCAAGAAGCTAATTGCTACCTGCCTTTTCAGAACCAATGAAGAAATTCCACAAAGCAACTCGGGGTCTTTATCATGTTGGACACACACAGCTTGTTTTCTCCTTGATCAATGCTATTGAATGGTGCTGTAATTATTGTACAAACTGTGCTGCAGCCACAAGTTCATAATTTTCTTTGAAGTTTATGTAACACTACAGGCTGGATGTAGATGGTAATGCTTCTCATCCTTTTAATCATGGTTGCTGCTACAGATTTTTAAAGGTCCTGGTGGCAGAAGTGCAATTGGAATTGGCCAGGATCCACATACGCTGGTAATGGGCATCTCTGAAAGCCACTATTACACCACAATTGCCACTGGAAAACAGAGAGTTTTGAAGCACAATCCAGATTATCACCTTTAGGTTTATGCAAGGCTTAGAAAGGGCTATTTAGACTACTACCGCACTCCCATTTCCTCCCAAATACCAAAAGCACATTCCCTCCAACAGCCACTGGAGGCACACAGTTTTTAAAAATTGGTTTTCTGGATTGCAGCTCTACAATATGGTTGAATATAGAACTGATGTTGCATAAGGTCCATCCATGGGACGCGGGTGGCGCTGTGGGTTAAACCACAGAGCCTAGGACTTGCTGATCAGAAGGTCGGCGGTTCGAATCCCCACGACGGGGTGAGCTCCCGTTGCTCGGTCCCTGTTCCTGCCAACCTAGCAGTTCGAAAGCACATCAAAGTGCAAGTAGATAAATAGGTACCGCTCCAGCGGGAAGGTAAACGGTGTTTCCGTGCGCTGCTCTGGTTCGCCAGAAGCGGCTTTGTCATGCTGGCCACATGACCCGGAAGCTGTACGCCGGCTCCCTCGGCCAATAAAGCGAGATGAGCGCCGCAACCCCAGAGTCGGCCACGACTGGACCTAATGGTCAGGGGTCCCTTTACCCTTTACCTTTAAGGTCATTTTGAAATAAAGACAACAGATTGGTTCTGATATAATGGAACCCTAGTTTGGTGCTACATGATCAAAGCCCCAGTCCATTTAATTCCCTCTCCCGCTCTAGCCCCCTCTTTCACTTTTGATTTGGCCATGATTGCCCACTGTGGATGCCACATCAAACTATGGTTTAATGCAAGATTGGAACTGAGGAAGGGAATGAGAGTGTGGTGGGTGGAGGGAGGAGGATGTGCACATGTGAGTACTGGGTCCATTCACACACCACCAAACCATGGTTTGACATTATTACACAACCATGGTTCTTCCATGCAAAGACAGTGTTTGTGTATGAGCAGCTTTTATGCCCAATTGCTTTTGCCTATATAAAGATTAGGCATTCTTCTTGGTGGATGAAAGTAACTCCACTTTTTGATTCATTTGTCTAGCAAAAGCCACGTATTAGTCTCTATGCCACTGGCAATATTTTATCACTTTCGGCTTGGTAAAGCATCAACTTATCTTCAAAATTTACTAATGTTTTCTTCAATCTATCATTTATGACCTGACACCTTCATTAAGCTCTTTCTTTGGAGGACAGCTCTTTGAATTTACTGCTCCTACGTACTGGAGCATACTTAAAAAGGAATCAAAGTTAACAACCTTTTTCATCTCCTGGCCTTTGTACTTTTAGATTGGATCAATTATTGATCCATACGTGTGGCTGTTACTCTTGGCCGGCCTGCAGCTGAAGGGAATTTTGTTGTGCTTCATTTGTTTGAACGGCCTTTAAAGGTACGGTTTTGAACGCATAAATAAGAGCACACCATGCCATTTAGGTACAGTTTTAGCAAACTGCCTATAGAAAGTGACAGTCTGGCAGTAATTCCTATATTAACTAAAAAGCTTTATGTATAATTGAGTAGGAGGCTATTTCAGCCCACTCTTAGATTTTATTCCAGGTTCAGAGATGCTTGATATTTACTGATGGGGGGGAATTTCATAACTGTTACACTATAAAATTGTATACACATAGTCCAAGATGCACAGACCATTTGAAAATTCTGAGAACTGAATCATTCCCTCCAATTTTTGAGGCATGAAATCTGCCTCTTAACAGTAATCAGCATAGATTGGACAGACTACTGGGCTTTGGGACTTCAACCTACACATGCCCGAAGCAGCCTCATATTGCATTCTTGCTGAAGCTATTATTTACATGTACTGTATCTACATACAAATATACATTCCCAATATATACTGTGTCACTCCACAGTGGCAGGACAGTGTCACGCAACAGCTCTCTGCCAGCAAGCTATGGAGGATGTCGTAAGAGAACGTGGGTGATATCCAGCAAGACAGTTACACTAGTGCAAAGATTTCTGCTTGTGCAATGGACGTTCCCCTCCCTCTTCTCTCCCCTCCACACCCTGTGCCCTCCCCAAATCTATTCCAAAAGAGTTGGGGAAACAGATTTGGGAGGGTGTGTGTGCAGAGAAAATTTCTCTCGGAGAAGAGAGGGAGGGCAAGTTCTGTCCTTGAGCTGGCTGATCTAATTCACTAGATAGTGCCCTACGCGTTTCAGAGTTTTGTTGAGAAAGACATAGACAGAAATAGAGATTAGCATTGGCTGTGATCCAGAGGCCAGCAGAGAGAGTGGCATGCACCTATCCTCCTACCACTGGCATCGCTGTGGTTTACTAGGGGGCAAAGGCGAGAGGTGATGGAAGGGGTGGCTGGGAGATTGGCACAATGCAGATGCACTGGGAGAAGTGCTGCATTGGCTCCACCAGTTCACCGAACTCCCCGCCACCTCCCCCCTCCTGATAAGCCACAATAGTACTTGGGAAGCCAGGTGTGGCCCTGGTGGCGCTTTCTGCCAGCTGCTCCCGATACTATGCAAAAAGTGAACATGCAGGGCAGAGCTTCTGAGCACCTCCAGCTGAAACCCCTTTCCTGACAAAAAACTCCTGAAATGTGAAGGGTTTTTGGAGGTCACTTCTGACAGAAGCTGTGATCAGAGACAAAACAAGGAGATCAGCAATATTTGTGCACTCTATTGGATCCCAGCCAGTCTGCAGCGACACACTGCATTTGCCCCCCCCCCCACCAAAAGGTATAATACACACACATCTACCTCTTCCATATTTGTTCCCAGTGTTTTCACTTCTTGCCCTTTCATCTCAAGCTGTTCCGTTAACTTTGAGAGTCGCTTAACTAGTTCCACAATGGTGTTCTCACGGTCGTCCTTTCTGATGTTCCCAAAGGAGGCCATCAGCTTCTTCAGAATTGTGTCATCACACCTGTGGGCAGAAAGACTCCAGTGACTGTGTGTTTCTCTACTGTAGCTTCATAAAGTTAGAAATGAATACCCTTCGTTGCACAGCATAAAATATTTGAACTGTGCACCCATGGGAACAAAATCCCTTTCTGAAACAAAACAGGATTCAACTGCATAGGCAAGAAATGAAAGCATGCCTTTGGGTTGCCCTGGTCAAGATAAAGCAACTAACAAATTTAATAAATAATAATAATAATAATAATAATAATAATAATAATAATAATATTACTTGTGAAATCTCCACCATTTGAAATCATGAAAAATAGGCCATGAGAAAGAATTCTGCTAATGAAATGTGGCATTTAGAACTAATAAGAAATTGTTTGTATTTAAAAGAATTTCTTCACCAAATTGTGGAATGCAATTGTGGTTGCAATCCCAGAAAGTTATGTGATTAGACAATGGGGCATGGGGCATGCAGCTGGAGATATCTTTGAAGTTTCTCTGCAGCAGCAGCTCACACGGTTTCACAGGCAAGCTGGTTTTCGTGTTTAAGGTCAGCTTGCCTGTCGAGTTGCGTGAGTGACTACAGTGGTAGCTGCAGAGACACCTTGGCTTGCATGCACAGTTCTCCCCGAACGCGCTGCTATGCTGTCTAATATTATAGGGCTTGGCATTACTCTCTGGCGTAGAACCAGATTAATTTCATTTACCATCTGAAATTTGTAGATGCCAGGGAAAGCAGTGTGGGAAGCTCAGTTCTCATCCCTAACATCTACTTGAATCGGATGGATTTAATTAACATATGTTCTACAACTACAGGGGATAATCACTGATGTACTCAGTGTACTACCACCCTTTTGATTTGATACAACCATATTGCATGTTCTGCTTCAAATGCAACTGTACCTGCGATACATCATTAATTGCCCCCAGTAGCTTTCTTGGACAATGAAGAAGTGTCCTACAAAAGCTCTCGTTGGGACATACCCGCTACTGCAACAGGGAAGTCTAGCGAGGAGTTTCTTCACTTCAGCCACCTGGGATTGCTGTTCCCCTGACCATTTCTCCTCTTCTTCATCAGAAGCAGCCTGGCCTTCCACAGAACGAAACATTTGTTCTTCCCCTGGAAACAAAGAACAACCTCCTCCTAAAATCTAGCGGCACTCACCGTAACGCCTTCTTCAAACAGTAGTTTCAAATGAGATTCAATTTAAGCAAGATCAAGTGGGTAATCTTAAATGAATAATTGGCAGAAATGCTAAAAGTTTCATTACTAGATAGAAGAGAACTTCCCCTTGGGAAGACTTAGCCAAAATGATGACTCTGTTACATTAAAAAAAAAAAAAATACTCCCCAAGCTCCTGTCACTTTCTTAATTAAGAACAGTTGGCTCAATATGTCTGAAACTGCCTCTAAGCCCTTTGCAAATGAATGGAAGGCACACTAAAGTACCATTCCCATTCATTACAGTGGAGTTTGCTCAGGAGGAAGTGAAATACTATGTCAGCTTCTGCATCAGAGTCTACTAGTGGCAAGCCAAAAAGAGTCTGAGAACGCTTCCTGGTTGTGAATGGATCCCTGCTCAGCCCTGTTCCAGTATAGGACCAAATCCTAGTACTTGGCCCTGCCCACGGCCATCACATCCTGTCCCCATGCTCTCATATATACATATTTCTCATTTTTTCATATAAACCAACCTTTCCCCCAGATCCGAAACATACTGTAAAACTAGCCCTCCCAAAAAGCACATGAATTGACACAAAAACGAGCACTAAACTTCCACTAGATTTCCAAAGGTTGCTTTTGCAGTATGTGAAAGGCTATGTAAAGCACAAAAATGATTAGGAAATGAAATGTCCGGAAGTGCCCTCTAAATGCAACGAAAGTCAGAATATAAGAACAAACAGATAAAATAACAATAAGGAGTGGGGCAAGGCCATGGAGAATTTTAAAGATAAGAACAAGAAGCTTGTGCAGGATCTGGTAGTGGATAAGGAGCTGGCGTAGGGGTTTATGAAGTGATATAGTCAGAGTGATGAGAGAAGGGAATTATGTTGGAAGCTCAGTGGTACAGTGTCTGCTTTGCATGCATGCAGAATGTCCCAGATTCAATCCCTGAATCTCTCAATAGGGCCTGGGAAATGCTACTGTTTGAAACCTTAGAGTGTTGCTGCCAGTCAAGGTAGACAATGTGCAACAAACGGACCGATGGCTTTGACTCAGTACAATGAAGCTTCCTATGCTCTGTAGCAGCAGAATGCTGAACAGAGGTAAGAGGATTAAGGTGAGGCAATAGAAGAGCAGGCAGAAAAGTCAGTGCAGCAGGGGGGCCAGCAAGTGCTGAGCAGGGTGTGAAGCAGAGCTTCCGCAGTGGGGACACAGAGGAAGGACCGTATTTTTGCAATGCTGTCAAGTTACAGAAGCTCGCAAAGGAGGAGAGGCTTGCAGCTTTTAGGTAGCGTCACTCCAATTCCGGCTATGTGGGTGTATTCACAAGGGAGAAAGAAATAGGCTGAGGGATTAAGATAATTGCCTGCTTTATAGACATGTATTTCCTTACAGACTGGAGTTGGAAGAATGCTGCTGGCCATTACTCACACATTCATCACAAGTAGCTGTTTTGCAAACTGGAGTGCTAGGTTTTTCCGCTAATCACAGTACGTGTCGCTAGGGAAATACAAACAGCCTTCTTCTCGAGAGATGAATCTCTGCCACATATGCTAAAAGAATGAGTTCCATCAGCCGTCACCTGCATTGCCGCTGCTCAGTACTTGGCTGAGCAAGACGGGGCTTCTGCTTTAACGAGCCTGTTTGGTGTTTTTCCCTTTTTCTTTCTATGCCGGTTTGACACTTGATGCCTCTCTTTAACATTAAGACAGAGCTGTGGAATTTGATGTGCATGTATATTCGTGGCATCTTTCTACATTTCAGGTTCAAAAATGTGCTAGTTTGATCCATCTGCAGAAAGAGACTGAAACCACAGAGAATATAAGGCTCCCAAATGGAAAGGCAAAGTGTTAGGAACCCAATGAAATAATGAGAATCTAAAGTAGAACTGTGTCTGCAAGGGCTGGGTTGACAACAGCAGATGGACAATGTCAATTGACAACAGTAAGGTCTCACTCCAAGCATAATAAAGACCATATCAGAGCCCCTTCTCTGGGTGTTCCTGACTTCAGAGGTTAGTTGACCAGCTGGAGGAGAGTCTTTTTTGTGTGTGGCAGTGACAAAATTGTCTCCTTCCCTAAATATGTTGGCCTGGCATTGCCTTTGCTAACTTTGAGGGGCCAAATTCCACCTAGTTCTTTTGTTGCTTTAAGTGATATCTATGACCCAGTTTAACAGCTTTATTTACTGCTTTTATCTAGTTTTCACTCTCTGGTCCTGTTGTTTTATTGGCCATTCTCATTTTGCTGTTTTGTACAGTTCTTGCAATTTCACTGCCTTTTATAGCAGATGCTGCCATAAGGCCTCCTGGTGAAAGGTTTAGGCTACAAATGCAATAAATAAATGACTAGTGTTGTGGGCAGTGAGAGATGTTCAGCTATGATATTTTGAAATTAAGCCTCTTGGATCATGTCACATGCTTGTTGTTTTGTACCAATTGTTTGACAGGCATTTAAAAGAGATGGCAGCAGGCTGGGTTGACGGAGAAAGCAGCATAGAGTGGTAGTGGAAGGTGGGGGGGGGGAAGGGGGTGACTTCTTATATCTTCCTATGCATATTTTGCTGCCAGCGATGAGACATGCTGAACAATTTTCATGCTGCCCAGGAGAGGGCACTGTTGTAAAACAAACAAATGAACAAGAAGCCAATACAGTTTGACCAGTTTAGCAGAAAAGAAGTTATTGTGTCATGTAAACTTTCCTCCTCTTCTACTGCAACAACAACACACACACACACACACACACACACACACACACACACACACAGGCTAAGTGTGCGAAACTAGGTGAGAGAGTCAGAAACTCAGACAGGAGGAGAAAGTCGGTGGCACAGGGGAAAGACATCATTTCACGGAACATGCCCTCTGCCAGGAAGTGACATAGCAAAAAGCGGGGGGGGGGGAGGAGTGTCATTCTGAAGAAATACAGCCTTCCATTTCAATGTAACTCCCAACTCTTCATTAATAGCAAACACAGAAACATGGTAGCAGGAGTTTAACAAAACAACTGACTGCAGGGCTGCAGGATAACAACAGAAAAGAGCAGAGTGAGAATACTGTACTACAAGCCTGCATCCTTATTGCTATGGATGCAAATTTCCCCCACACATCTCCCTTTCCCTCATAAATCCTCTCTTTTTTGGTACTACACAAATCCTCACTGCTCTTCTAGCTGTGATAGACAGGGCTGGCTCAAGACATTTTGCTGCCTGAGGCAAAGGGCAAGCTCTCCCCTGCTCCCACCCCAGTTCCATGTACAGCTGCCAACCAGACTTGCAGTTTAATCTTATTTCAGTACTTGCAGCATCTTCCATTGCACCAGAGGGCAGTAGGCAAGGTTGGGAAGGGCAGAGCAGGGCAGACTACGTGGCATTCACGACTCTGTCCTCCCAGTACCTTGCTGCCCCATCCCCATCATCTGCCAGCTCACCCTGGCGATAGATCAGTTTAAAATGCTCCAGGCAGCAGTCTACATTTCTTGGTAATAAGAGTTCAAAGAAGAATGGTCAATGGCGGATCAAGCAGAGAAGATTGACCCACAAGCCAATGATGAGGCTGACCTCCAAGATTACATTTTTGTTTTAGGAGTCGCTGGGGTACAGTAGACACCCAGATTAGCTATTTACAAACACGCAGGAGGCATGAACTTATAAGCAGCCTTCCTGCCTGCACAGCTAAACAATCATTCTTGTCCCTCACCCCTGCCCAAGAATGGAAATATCTTTTCTGCATGGGTTTGTTCTGCAAACTGCTGACCGCATTAGCCCACAGTACGCTAAAAGACATGATCCAGTATTATTATTTCTCATTTGCAAGTCTTCCATTTACCAAACAGTTGTTTATGCCGACGCTTTTCACTTCGTTTGACATGGCATGACCTTGAAGCTGAACGTTTAGATTTCAAGCCTCTCCTTCAGATACAGTACCTTGTCACTCCGGATTAGTTCTTAAGCTGACTGACACTGCTTCTGTCTGACTGCAAGAATTAACAGCAGCTAAAGGGAATACCAAAAGAGGCAAGCACTGTGGGATTTGAACTGTGGTAAAATGTAGTTCATCCCGCAAGACTGGGGAAAGTTTCCTTACTTTCATGTCTGTGCTCTGGAGCTAGTCAAAGCACACCAAACTTTAAGCTTAGTTTTAGGCTACATCATCTCAGCCAGAAGCACAGTCTGAAGATTCTTCTTATGCAAATAGCTAGAAGGGTGTTGCCATTTTACATTCAAAGAGTGTACAATCTGTGTTCCCATGTACACAAGTCGTTAAGCTGTATGTCTGTACGGTTATTCACATGCAACGAGTGTACAACCCCTAATTTACACAGGTTTGCTGCCAGCAAAAGGAAATGGCTTCAATGTAATTGTCACTGAGTGTCACTGAAGCAATTCCCTTTTATTGGGAACAAGGCAAGGCATGCTAGATCTGCTGTGGTTCCTGAAATGGTTCCCTACCAAGGTTTACATTCAGTAGAAAGAACTGAGGCAGGTAATGGATGATAGTGTTGTTGCTGTCATTTATTCCTGCACAGGGCTTCACTTTTTTTAAAACCCAAACACCAGCTTGAATCATAACTATTGAAAAAGGTAAATACACTGTCTGGAAGTTCCTCAAATGTTGCTCTTGTTGCTGGCAGTGAGATTACTAAACTTAAGTTAGCAATGGGGGAACAAAGACAGGAAAAGAAGTAAAATCCCACTCACTGAGCTGTATCAACTTGAGATTTCAGCCTGTCTGGGATTCCCATATAAAACTGAGCACATGTAATCCGTTTTATAACATACACATTTCTCATCATGCTCCAGTCTTGCCCTATTAACAGTCTTGCCCTCTGTGCTTCATCCTGTCTGCCACCTACTACTCAAGGAGATACTCCTCACTTCTGCACGAATGTGTTCAGCTACTGAAGGGGCTGCCAATAGCTGTTAAAGCAGTGCTTTAACATAGAGAAATGGGACTCAGCTTAGACTCTTCTAGCTTTCCCAGAAAGTGGTGAACTATGATCTGATTCAGGATATCCTCTTAGTGGATTGGGAAGGGTGGTGGATGGTAACATCGCCCTTCCTCACAAAACACACACACACACACGGCTGTCAGCTGGTCACAGGGCTGCCTGTTACTGGTTGGCATCCATCTGCTGCTTCCACCAGCCAATCTGCTCCCCCTGTCCTGCCGTCAGCGGCCTGTCCTGTGCTCAGCAGAGACAGCTGGGATAGGATATGCCTGCTGGCCATGGAGCAGTCTGTTGCTGACTAGAATGGTTGCTGCCAACTGTTTAAAAGTTTTCCAAGTAATTTTTAAACTTTAAACAGCATAAGCCACCACAGTGAAGTGCTGATGACAAATGACTCTCTGAGAAAATGACCTAGGGTCCTTCTTCAAAGTGAGGCACTGTGACATGAGATCGTCCCGGGGAGCCTTTAGGAGCTCTAGCGCCATGGGCACTTTGCTGCAGTGGCATAAACTCACATGAAACCCTCCAATGCATTTCAAAGGAGGAATGGGGAACAAATTGGAAAAGGGGTGGCGGTGGAATACTGCAAGTGTTTTTTTCTCTCTAGCACTGCTTTGGAAAAATATTAATGAGGCAGTTCTGGTGAACCTGCATACATGAGTAAGAACTCTGTATCGCCTGTCAGATAACAGGCAAAGACTCACAAACACAGAGCACTCTCTTTATGAATGTGGTTGATGAATAATGTGCTAAATGCGTTTTCCATTCGGAAAAGGACTGCAAAAATGCTTTCTTGAAGCAGACAGTGCCTGAAGTTCATGGCCAGTATCTGAAAGCAAGCAGCAGCACATCATGCTCGCAAGCCAGAAGAAACCCACTAGAATTAAATTGCCCCAGCATGTTCTGGTGAAAAGAGAATTCTATCCAGCCCAAGAAAGACGGTGCAAATGAAACTGCCATCTTTTTGGGAGGGAACGTTATGTTGCTCCTTGGGATGGCTGCCTCCTCGTGAGCTAATACAGAAGATCACCACACAAAATGGTCCCCTCACAAAAGGGCCGCTCAAAAAGATGGCTCAGTCTAAATGGTGCACTCCTTTAAGAAGATAAAAAGAGCTTGCAGGGTCAGGACAATGGCCCATCTAGATGAGCATCCTGTTCTCGCAGTGGCCAACTAGATGCCTGTAGGAAACCTGCAAGAAGGATCCAAGCACAAGAGCCCTTTCCCTTACTGATGTTTCCAGCAACTGGTATTCAGAAACATTAGTGGCTCTGATCATGGAGGCAGAGCATGGCTGGTCCATGGATAGCCTTCTCCATGAATTTGTCTAAACCTATTTTAAAGCCATCCAAGCTGGTGGCCATTGTACCACATGCACACCGAGTTTCCATACCATTCTCTGACATCCCTGCACCTCCAGTGGGTGAACTTCTATCTCGCTGTGCAACTGATGAGGCATATTGGCCACCAGCCACTGCTGTCTTCTGGTCTGAGCTGCCTTGCGAAGGAAGCTGGTGCTTCAGGACTTCCAACCTGAAAAAAACCACAAAGGGAAACAGACAAAATAAGCCAAACGAAGAGAAAGCCAAATAAACACTTTGCATGGCAGGATGCTCCATAACACCCAAGCAGCTTCACTAAGGATATGCTTGCACTGGCAGATGTTGGAACTGTTTGCTCTGTATATGCTGACAGCAGCTTGTGCAGTTCATGTTAGTAGTGGCCCAGTTCGGACACTATGGGAAAGCCACAATTTGCTAGTCAGGGCCGTGTCACAGACTCTTGGACCCGGAGGCGCCAGCCTGCGAAGGCAATTGGGGTGTGTGTGTCAATGTCACATGTGTGATGTTCTTCAGCAATTGTACGGTCCAGCAGAATTAGAAGTGCATCAAAAAGAGACCCCTACAGAAAACACTAACAACAACTAACTCTGCCCCTGCAATGCAAAATAAACAAAATAGTACGGTTATTATGGAGTGAAGGTAGTACCATACATTTGTATTTCATCTGGAATTTTCAAAGCTGGAACAAAAATGAGTTTATAAACACTGTTTGGGCATGCAAAGAAAAACCCACAAATTAAAGTTTAACACTGAGCATCATATGCCAGAGTGAAAATCTTTTTTAACAGATGTATTTGAACATTTCACAGTTTAATGGTTCCTGCTGCTCATTCTGGTTTCTCACACTGGGGATCCTGGCTATAATTGAGTTGAACGCTATCCATGCATTCAATGTCGTAATGAAATATAACCCTTCTCACCATATGTAGTTAACCTTTTTAGGATTTGACCGTACTGACTGCCATTGGGTGGTGGAGTCCCTATTTATTTATTTATTTATTTATTTATTTATTTACAAAAGCTGAATATTTTCCTAAAGTTTTATTCCATGTTATTTTGAATAATCAATGAAATATATTTTGAAATAATAAAAATATTGTGAGCTTGTATCAGACAGTATGAAGTGATTCAGTGTGAACAATTATCGCCTTGTTCAGAAGACCTTGGGATGGAGAAGGCACCTTCTTCTGACATCATCTAAGTCTGGAGATAGTACTGCATCCTTCCAGGTGCTTGGCAACTCACTTGTTTTTGCAGTCACAGGGTGACAGCAAAAACAGGACTTTCCAAGCTCCTAAAGTCTAGCTGCCATACATGGCTGTTGAGTTATGTTCACCTTGAAGAGTTAAATGATGTCCAGACTAGCTACAAAGAGAAGGTCCAAATGTCAGTATTCATGAGGGCAGCAGAGGTTGGTTCATTAGGGCAAGTGGGGCATCGTCCCACCAATCTAACTTGGCCATCAGCCAGCCTCCCACCTTGCTTGCCTTATTACTTACAACTATGTCCAGGCAGTCGCTCTGGCTGGCAGCTTCCTCCTAGCTCCTCAGTCTCAGTTTTGCCCTTGTAGAACTCAGCTGGGAGGATGGGGACAAAACTAGAATTCACTGGCTCCATCTGTCATGATTCCAATTACTGTTGTCCTTCCTGATTTCTGTCCTGCCATTCCCAATGGGTACCCAACCAGATGTGGGTGGATATTGCCTACATGCTTTTTTCTGATGCCACAATAAGTGAAAAGGCTAGAACCACTCTCCGCCACCCTTATAGAAAGCTGAAAATTCTAGACAATTCTAGACAAGGCCCTGGAATACCCCTAAGAGACCTAGACCTCTAAGCCCCCTCTCCCAGTTACAATCCTGCTCTAGGGAAAAACGAGGTTTTGGATGCATTTACTTAGATATTTACTTTTTTTCACTTACCCACAGTGCCTTATTTGCTTTAGCTAGCTAACTCTCATTCTTTCCCTCTCTCTATTAGAGCACATGCACCAAGGAGCCCTTATTTTACTGGTTTTGTTGTTTCTGCCTATTATATTCTGCAGCATTAAATTCAATATCTTGCAGAAGCTGGATAGCTAATAATAATAATAATAATAATAATAATAATATATTTATACCCCACCCATCTGGCTGGGTTGCCAAATACATGATCTTTCCCCTTCCCAAAACAGAGACTTTCAGATGCTAGGTCAAGCATAGACCTGAATATCTGTACCATTGCAAATTTCCAAGACCTGCTTCACCACAAAGTGAGGGGAAACCACAATCTAGGTGGTAAATTTCAAAAAGGGCTGTCTGTTTTTTGCATACAAATTCTCATTCCACAAGTGTGTGTGTGTGTGTGTGTGTGTGTGTTCTTACTGAACAGCTTTAGCTTTTTTTGCTTTAGATGTAAAAATGTCTAAGGCAAGCACTATAAATCTCATCGAACCTCTGTCATTTCCCTCCCCCCCCCCCAAAAAAAATCTGGGCTTGGCTCTTTTTCATTAGCATTCATAAAACATCTCATAAACGTCGAAGAAGAGTGAATAAGCAGCACGTCTGTGCGGAGCAAAGATCATAGGAGAGGTTGGCTCTGGGAAGTGCGTGTGTACCATGCAGTATAGCAAGGTTTCCATAGAGACAGCCAAATAGACCACATTCATTTTAAGGCTTTTGTGTTGAAGATAATGAGAAGCATGAAAGAGGGAATATCTAGAAGCAGGGAAGACTGCATATTGTTGGACCTCAAAGTAATGTCCATGACTAATTGGCTTTTAATTAAGGCTATTCCACTATCAGTGAAACGTTTAGCTGCAACTTGAGGCAGCTGCTACTAGCGTAAAAACTGAGATTAGTTTGGCTTGCTAGCCCAACTGGGTAAAAAGTACATTTCTATATATGCTTATGTGTTTAAAGAGGACAGGACTATCAGTGGCTGGGCAGTGGTGTTGTGGGAAATGTTGCAACGCAGAAGCTGATATCATGGGGGTCCTCATAGCCCAGGAATTCCATAACAATGTCCCAAAGGGTTGCAGGCAGCTGTGTCTGTGTGTCTGTCTGTCTGTCTGTCTATCTATCCATCCATCCATCCATCCATCCATCTATCCCATAGAGTGAACTGGCAAAGGGTGGTGTAATGGTTAGACTGCTGGACTTTGTTTGTTTATGAAGACATGACTTCAGATCCCTGGTCAGCTATGATCAGATCCCTGAACAGCCTTTGGCTCAATCATTAACTGAGCCTAGGCGAGCTAAAAAAGGGACTATGTGCCAAGTCAGGCCTGTCCTCTAATTGCCCAAGTTTCCTACACCGAGAATGGTCACATCCATATAATACATTTAAAGCATGCGGCTTCCCCAGAGATTCCTAGGAACTATAATTTACCCTCACAGGGCTACAATTCCCAGCATGCTTAACAGACTGCAGTTCCCAATACTTAAATGTGCATTAAATTTATGGTGTGGGTGTGGCCAAACACCACTTCAGCAGATGACATCATTGTTTTTGTTGTGAAAGAAGTACCAGAGTTGCGTTCCCAGTATTCCCTGTCCACTATACCACTGTCCTGGCTTGTTTGCCTCCAGGATCTTGTAATTTGAGTTGCAACCTCTGAATAAAGAGGCTCAGTTTTTCCAACATGCTCTGCTTGTGACCTCTTAAAGCATTTGGCTGTTGGAGACAGAAAGGTGAACTAGCTGGACCTTTGGTCTGATCCAGCCAAAGCCAGTAGGTGATGTGAATTAAATTTAAATAATGTCGCAATCCAATGATAGTTTTCCTCCAGTCATTAAATCTGAGGATATTGGTTTAGCAGTTCTTCTCTAATGGAAAACTGCTCAACTAAGCAATTACTTGCTTAATACTATCACTTCAAAATAGTTGGTAAATTGGTTTCCTAATGAAGCTTGAGGGGTGCTTGTGTCTACCAGGATCTCCCTTCTCTAAGACCATCTCTCCAGCAGAAGGTGAAATAATTTATCTTCTGCAAACCAACCACAACTGGTGTAAACATTATTCAAGGCTTCATCCTGTCAACATCACAATGTTCTTGCGTTGCTGTGATTTCCTTAGGTCAGCCTTCCCCAACTTGGTTTCCTCCAGGTGCATCAAACTGAATTCCCATCAGCTCTGGCCAGCATTGGCCACATTGACTCAGTTGATGGGATGTGTAGTCCAAAAAATCAGGAGGGCATTAGGTTGGGGAAGTCTGCCTTAGGTCCTTTTTGTGAGTGAGTGAGTGAGTGAGTGAGTGAGTAAGTGAGAGGCAGACAAGCAGATAGATGGTGGACTGACTAGCATTTCCTCTAGAAATAAAAACATTTTAAATTTTCAGCCTTTCTATACAGCATCTTAAAATAGAGCTAAATAGTGCTTTTCCGCAGCAAATTAAATGCAGAGCACTTGAGCCTAATGGATTTATTTAAACTGACTAGACCTGCTGGAATTATATTGCCTTCTATAGTAATAATACTCTGAGGCATACTTCCTGCTCTTTGAAAGCATTATTCTCTGACAAAAATGACCGTATTGACTTCAGCTTTCTTCATTTGTTATATAACCTGCGCAGATCTCTAGAGCACTATATGATTCTCACACATACATTATAATGCCTTGCAAAGCTAACATCCTCTGCTCATTTACTCAGAAGTAATTCCCACTGTGTTGAGTGGGGCTTGTTGGCACATAAATTGCATAGAATATTCCATTATTCAATCCTACTGTGTGTGGTGTAGTGGTTAGAGTTTCAGACAAGGACCTGGGAGATCAGGGTTCAAATCCCTACTGGACCATGAAGCTCACTGGGTGACCTTGGACCAGTCACTGCCTCCCAGCCTAACCTACCTCACAGGCTTGTTGTGGGGATTGAACGAGGAAGGGAAGAACCACATATGGCTCCTTAGGCTCCTTGGAGAAAAGTGTAGGATACAAAGGAAATAAATACAATAAAACAAAGCAACTCTTACATAGATGAAACAACAAGAGCCCCCTTCAGATGCTGCTAACTCCCATGTTGCGTTGTTGTTGTTGCTGCTGCTGTTGCTGCTGCCGCTACTCCCTGTACCAAGCACTATAATGATGTTCTGCTTGTCCCCTGACATACACTGAACAATGGGATGTGCCAGATTCTGTGGAAACCTTTTGAGCATACAGCTATATGGGCAAAGACCTCCTCCTTACAGACATCTGTGCTACAATGAAACACAGGTGCTAATACTGAAAGGGGCTCTTGTCTATTTCATGGTAACTCCTGCTTTTAGAACCCCACGGGGTTTTCATAAATTTAGGAGGCTCCATTCCTCTCCCCACCCATTGCTTCTGTAACACCACCCATGCTTGACTGGATCCAAGGTTGATTGAAACTGACTTTCTGGTTAATCCCTCCCTCGTCCCTGACACCTGGCTATTTGGCACTTAAGCCAATTCATTTTTCCCCTGCTTGAAAAGCTGTTTAGACCCAGGGAAAGAGAAGCAGCTTTCTGACTGTCTCAAGGGCCAGTTTCCAAAACTGCCTGGGGAGAGGGAACCTAACAAATTAGCAGCTAGCAAAGTTTAAAGCTATTCAGCTGGATCCTATCCTTATTTCCTTAGAAGTCTGAGAAGTCTGCCATTTTTTGTGTTATGTAGCATTTTACAGAAGAGCATGGTATTATTTCATTCTCCTCTAGGCGTCACTCTGATATTACTTTGATTACATTGTGATAAATTGCTTCAGAGGTTTTTAAATATCCTGATAAATGGGTCTAAATAAAATAAAAATTTAGGAACAGGAGAAGTATCTCATCATTGCGAGGGGCCTGAGAAATTTGTCACCATATAGTGCAGCCGTATACAAATTAGCTCTCTCTAATCTCAACACAACTATTCATGAGCACATTCTTCTTAGAAACCACAATCTAAAGCTAATATTTAAAATCGAGCATCCTCTCTCCAAATAGCACTTGCCTGGCTCAGCCAATGTGTCTGCTGCTAAGCATATCATTCAGACAACAATTAATAATAACAGGGAAGCCAGGATTTTTGTTCCAATGCCTTCAAAATAATTCCATTCCATTTTGCTAATTAATGCATTGCGTACAATTTATTGCCGAAGCCTTTACTTCGATTAAGGTACGTGTTACAGTTCATTGAGTTCTCCTATTACAGCTAATGCACTACTACACAAACTGGTGAGTAAGAAAAATCTGGGGAAGTGTTTCAGTGCCTAATAGATACACATATACTTCTGTCTAAACCCAGGGTTCAGTCTATATTCCTCCAGAGGACTACTCTTGGAGACTGGCATACTTAAGTACTGCTTATAAATCTTTAAGTGATTATGCCTTAGCTATGCCACAAAATGGCTGCTGTGGTCTTGCATGAGGAAGTAACAAACCACTGACATTCTCTCCCTTGCTTCTTCTAATAGAATACCCATAAGAATGGGGTTTGGGTCTGAAATTCTACTTAGACAAGAGAGACAACTGATCTAAGCAATTAATGAACGGGTTTGTAAATAAAGCTTACTATTGCTTTCACGTTCATTTTTCTCCCACCCATCTGGCTTTGCTTCATTATTAAATGGAGTCTTCTTATATTTCATTATCTGTCAAGGATGGAACCAAATTAGAAACATGTACCTTACAGACCATGTAGTGGTGATGAAACCTACCTGGAGCCATTTGTTATTTTTCAGGGCAAGTCTTGGCCAATTTTTGGCCAAAGCAATGTAGAAATTCCTTAATAAATAATTAAATTAATGGCCTCTATTTCATTGGTCTAATGTATTTTGGTATGATCTAACTGGGGATAGGTGAGTTAGTGCTCAAAAAAAGATGAAAGATCGGGCTGTGTTGGAAGGGTGCTTATGCTGACTGCTTTCAACTTGGTTTTGAAAAATCCTCATCTCCAGCTAAAATACAAATCCTTTCAGGAGTACATTTCATCCAGATTCTGTGGAGCCTAGCAGACTGTCAGAAACCAGAAACAGATGGTAAATTATGTAGCAATATCTTGTCCCAGGATTTTGTTTGTTTATTTAGGTTTTTGTTGTTGTTGTTGCTGCTGCTGCTCCAGAGTTTGGAAACAGAGAAGTCGGAAGCAGAACTAGAGACTAAACTAAAGGGGGTGGGGGTGGGAGAGAATTCAGTTATAATGGGGAGTGAGTACACTCAAAGTACTTCCAATTTTACTGGCACTTTAAATATATTGGACAGGCAGAATAAATTAAATCTAGTTGAAAAATTTAGGTATAGGATTTGTTCAAATTCGTTTAAACTCATTCATTTCAATTCATTCAGTGCATCATTAGCTACTGTTTGTGAAATTTTGCCCCATTGTATCAGTTTTGAAAACATGAAAATAGCCTGGTCTGTTCTCTCCAACAACAGTGGCCCTATAATATTATTCATAAGGGTTAGCATTCCTTGTGAATAGCCACTGTCACACAGTCAAGAGATTTCGTATAAGAATTCATTTCAGGCTAGAGCCATTAAGTAGGCTGAGCTGTACTGAAATCACATGTGATTTTTAAACATTTGTCATGTTCACAAAGGTCAGGAGCTGAGGAGACATGTCTGCCAACCAGCCCACTTGCTCTCAATTATGTGTCTTTTAACCAAAAAGTAAACATTATCTAAGCCAAGGTATATCTTGCTTATCTGTAATTACTATGTTTGGCCCCTGTAACATAATACAGCCCAGCATAGAATAGGCCAAGGAAATCGGCTACAGAACTATAGGCAATATCACTAAGGTAGTCATCAGATTAAACAGATAACAACTTGATTATTTCATTGTAACATTTATATTCTGCCTTTCCTCCAGTGAACTTAGGGCAGTACACATGGTTCTTCTCCTTCCACTTTACCATCAGAACAGCCCCGAAGCTTCGGCTGAGAGATGCTCATGACTGAGTGGAGACTCAAACTTGGATCTCCCCAGACCATGTCTAACTCAGCAATGGGGAACCTGTGGCCCTCCATTTGTAGTTGGAGTTGAGCTCCCATCAGCCAGCATGGCCAATGGTAAGTGATTATGACCGCTGTACTCTAGCAACACCTGGAGAGCCCAGGTTCCCGGTCCCTGCTCTAACCATTATATCATACTATTAATCTGTCAAACACAATTTTTTACAACTGTTCTAAACAAAGAAAAATGCATACTTTTTCATGATGCACACAAGTACAAGAGGCATCATCTGAGAAAATGAATTCTCCCTTTTCTCACACGTATTGGTACGTACATGTACTTGCATTAAATAGTACTGCTCAATTGATGGCACCTTTTTTAGTTGATCAGAAATATTTAATGCATCACTCTAACGAATCAGTCAACTATACATTGCTGCCACATTGACCCATGAGCAACATTTGCAGGGTTAGGGCAACAAATGAAAGCAGATGTGGCCGAAGAAGGCATGACCAAGTCACAAATGTGGATATAGGTCTTTTCTTTTTTGAATGAAGAGGGCAAAAGAAGAGGGGGAGCAAGTTGCAAAAACCTTTTGGAATCACAGTAAGTGACACTTGACCAGAGGAATGCCTAGACAAGGAGATGTACTGGTGTCTCCATAACCAGGCGAGACCATGGCCAGAAACTCAGAAAGTTTGCTTTCATCGCCTTTTGCGTTCCACCAGTGATTTCCTCTGCGGCCATTGGGGTTGGGTCTGCCTCCCCTCCTCTGTCGTCTGCCTGCCTTTCTGCCTCTATTCACTGCTATCCCTTCTGCCTCCTTTCTCCTTCCCTTCTATTTTCCTCCTCTCTCTCTCTCTCTCTCTCTCTCTTTCTTCGCTCTAAGCCCCTCCGGATGCTCCACTCACACTTCTAATAGCACCACTGATCAATTGGGGAGGGGCCCCTGCCCAGCATGGCTGTTGCAACGGCCTACAACAGCAACCAGATTCTTCTGTCTAGGCGCCCAGAGGAACCAGCACACCAGGTGCTCAGAGCAGCAGGGGAGCAGCCCACAGAACAGGCGGACAAACTTCTAGTCACTCCAAGCCAGTGCAGAGAGGTGCAGTTTCCGTGCCCCCCATGGACCTGGGCCCTTGGCAGGGGCCAACTTGACCATCCTCTAGGTACACCACTGCAAGTGACAGTATATATCTTTCAGCATCTCAGGGTCACATTGGAATACCTATGGGAGCAATCAGTAAAGCAGAGGGTGAGCTAATGCAAAGAGGAATTGAGCAGGAAGAGGAAACGGTCTCTCATGCACTGACAGCATTGAGGAGTCCACTCACACAATCCACTGCTGAAAGTGGGAGTGAGAGAAAAGAGGAGGCCCTTCAGAATCCCATTAAATTATTCTTCAGGGGCGCCAAGAGTTCTAGCCAATTCTCTGAATTTATACACTGAGCAACTATTACCATAACAATGGAATGGATCCATGTGCCAGGTGCGCATGCCAAATGCACACATCACGGTGTCAATAACATCGCTATGTATCAGCCATAAGACATGCTTTTAAAAAACACTACTTTTTGAAGCCTACTGCTCAACGCAACCAAGAGTCAGCCTTTAATCCTTGTTGAGAATATTCCTGTCCCTGGATGTTTTTTGCTCTCCTCACCCCCATCAATAAAATCTGAAATGGTGCCTGTCCTGCAGAGTTCTAATCCATAATTTGCAAATATATGGAAATCACAACTTCCCCTGATTTGAGTTTGACCTCAAAACGGTAGGATCACCATGAATTTAGGAAATTATTTTTAAAAATACATTTTGACAACCCTGCAAGTTCCCAGACACAGCTTTTTCCTGTTTTTCGGTAATTTCCTCAATGGATATCCACAGGAAAAGAAGGAAACATGGATGAAAACAGAAGAACAACACTCGGAAAAGGGAAGCCACAGTGATAGGAGGAAAACCTGAAATAAATGTAATTCAAGCTACAAATCACAGGTAACATTTGATGCAACAGCAACCAAGAAAGCTACATCACAATACAGAAAGGAGAGAACTACTTTTTCTCCCAACGTGATATATCTTATCTTTTCTGAATATTGCATTTCCTTTCATTTTTAACTATGGAAAAATGAATGTGAGCATTATCAAAAAAAGGTGTTGTTGCATGCAACAAAGTCATTGCTTGAGTGGAACAACTTCTGCTTCCGCAATGGAACACCCTCCTTTCTCTGCTCCCTTTCTCTCTCCCCTTTGTGCCCTCCCAATCATCCCTGGGGTTTTCCCTAACCCCACAAAGCAGATTTTAGAATTCAGGAGTAGTTACATTGGGGGGCGGGGAGAGGAAGGAAGGGGATGTTCCACTGTAATGCCTTTATTGGATACACACCTGTATGTTGACATTTTGAGTCTATGCTTTCTGGTTAAGGTAGTCACACTACTCACTCACATACTCTCAATAATTACAAATCCCAATAATCTCCTGGGTCCACATACAGAAGACCGGGGCCACTAGAGAGGGGCAGGGGTACACGGAGGAGATCACATAATTTAATGTATGTAGATGGGATGGATCTTATGCATGCCTGCTCAGTAGTAAGTCCCATCAAGTTCAGTGAGGCTTTCTTCCAAGTAAATGTGGACAGGACTGCAACCTAAATAAGCTGCAAAATAAAAAGTTTTATTTTATTGGACTTCCTCCTTTAGGAACTATGGGCTAATAGTTATAACTGCCCATATAACAACATGATTTACAAGTAAGCAAGTTGAATAGGGTATTATGTAAATACAAATATTTCACAAGAAATTATGCTTCTGAGGAGGGAAACTGCTGTCTGTAACTGAAGCCAGCTGTAAATTCATTTCCTTAAGGGATTAATGATGCCATCCCATAAGCATTCAGAAATCTGGATTCCATCAGGAGGGTCGGAGGGAGGGCGTTTAATGTTTGTCCTGTCCAAAATTAGGAAACACCAGAATGAACACATCATTCTATAACTGATCCCAGTTCAAATCTAATGGGGAACTACTAGCTGACATTGAGTTTTAACTTCCATTAAGAACTGTCTGATGGAAATCGTTAGTTATAGATTGACATGCCTTGTAAATTAATGGAAACTTTGTTTGCAGGATTTTTTTTGTTTGTTTAGTTGTGAGGTATCCAGGTTTTTGACTAAAAAATTCTAATTAAAGTGTTTAATTATTGGCAGAGTAAGTGAAGGCGCCACCCACATACAAGTCTGCCCCAATCTCCTCTGAAGACCCCCTTGCATTTGGACTGCAACTGCTTCATTTCAAACACTGTTGGCGACAAGAAAACATGAGCACAGCACAGACTGCAGTGAGTCACCTGCCGAATCCCGCATTATTTTTCAATGCAAATGTTTTTAAATGAAATAATAATAATAGAAAGGAACATTACTGGAGTGCAAAGCTATAGCTAAAATATGAGTACTCAAAACATCTGCCTGTTTACTCGAGCTCTTTGAAAAGTTAGGCTGGATCAAAGGATAGCTCAAAGGGTATCATTACTGTTAAACACCAACAACAGATTGGCAATAGGTTTTTTTGCTCAGACTTAGAGAAAATAAAAACACTAAAAGCTAAGCCATACCCAGTATACCAGGGAGTACCTTAGTACAAAGGCTGCTCTGTCTTTGTGTACCAAACCCACAAATTCTGTGAAAAGGAAGCAATTACATGGCAAGAATAACAAAGATTCTGCACACAAAATTATTTATTTGATGCACTGACAATCCCAAGGGCTCAGAGCAACAGTGACCAGAATCCAAAGAACCAAAGGTAGTCTGGGTAGATGGGGCTGGCCCAGGGTCACATTCCTCTTCTATACTTCACTGCTGTCCTGCCCAGGCCTAAAGGTCAAAGCTCAAGCTAGGGAATCTGTGTTTTCTAGAGAAAGTGGTTTCTTTTCAGGAGACAAAATTATTCTGACTGCTTGGAGCCCCATCTTGTATACTTAAATACAGACCATTAGTGAAAATGACCAAAGTCTGCCATATTTGAGAGAGAGGGGGAGAGTTTCTTGATTTATAATTCCATCCACAATATGGTACCCATATATTTCCACATGAGGTGCACCCCTCCAAGTTTACATGTGTTAAATCACCTCAGATAAATTTCTCTAAGCAAAATATAATTGGTTGGCAGTCTGTTTAAGTAAGCTATGGAGCTCAGCAACAACTGCTACAGAAAACAGACAACCATTCTCTTGAAATAAAAATGAAATAATGAAACAAACAGGGAAGGAAAATCCAGCAAAGGACACTGATTCTGAATGCGAGGGGAAATGTGCTGCTTTACGTTCAATATTTGCAACCACACCGCTGAAAAGTGTGATTCATTGCCACTGTTCCCTTTTCAAATGGCTTTACCAGATATCATATATCATTCTGAAGTCATTTATCAGCTCCCATTTTCTAAAGGGCATATTATGATCAAAACTACAGCATTCGTCTAAACCGATTCCCTTTACAATTATAAAAAACCTGAACTGCTACATTTAATGGGATGCAAGTATTTCTTAAATCTACAGAGGGAGAAAAGGTTATAGTACTGTGTGTGCTACAATTTGGTTACTCTTGCCTTCTCTCCAGTCTATAAACTAATATGTGGTGGCAAATCTGAATTCCCTGTAACATATATTCACGCTGAATGAATTTGCAAAGAAATCTAACAAATGATGAAAAATAAGTAAGCCACAGATCTCTTAGCTGCTTTTATAGGCCCCAATGGTACATAGGAGAAAGGAAAACTTCACCCCTTCCCTCCTCCTCATTTTTCCAATCTAAATCAGCAACAGAGATAAGTATCCATATATTTTTCACTGTTGGCGAATGGCAGTCTGCAGGGGTGGGGTGGGTAGGTTAGAGCAGCTCCCTCCCTCCCTCACAAACTGCCCTAGGAAGTAGATTAGGGAGACTGAGAGACTGGCCCACCCAGTGAGCTTCATGGCTGTCAAGACTGAACCCATAACCATTTTTCAGGTCAGGAGCTGAACCGGTGAGTCACATTCAAGGAATCCATGGAAACACATCAAAGTCAAGAAGACTTGCCCTGCCACAATTAAAAAAACAACACACCTTTTATTACCCTCTCCAGGCGGGTCCAGGGGGGCCATGTAGACTATGAGAAATACTTCACTGCCAGGAAGATGTTCTCAGTTGAAGTTCTAGCAGTTCACCACATGGGGAAGCCACACAGAAGCAAACATTGCCTGGTTCTACTCCCAATTGCTGAGGAGGAATATCAACAAGGGTCTGTCACTCTAACCAGTACATCAAATGTGCCCTTCTTTGGGATTTGGCAGATTGAATTTTGTTTGAAAATGAGCTGTCTTTACTTACATGGGGCTCACCCTAGCCTTCCGGGTGGCTTGTACAATTCACAGAGTGATAAAAATAGAAACAAAAATAGAATCAAGATTTAAAAAATATATATACACCACACAGCAGGAATGTACAACAATGAGAAAATCAGCAGGATCAAATAAGATCAAATAAAAAGGCACTTTATTTGGTGTATAGCATTGCCTGTTCTACACCTTGCTCAGAGAACTAACACAGCAATGGCTCTCCATACCAAGCAATAATATTCTAGAGGGTGAGGGAAGTGTCAGTTTTGCAATTTAGTTTCTTCTAAAGTCAAAGATGTTGTCAGTAGTGGGGGTTAGACAGCACAACAGAAGCTTCACTTTTCCCTCACACTTTACTTTAGAATTCGAATGTTAACGTTAATAGGATTCCAAGACAAAAGTCTCCTTGCATCTGCATCTCCTGCTAATTATTTGAGAGGTTGTTTTGCCCCAAATAAATTCCAACTTTTGAAAAAACGGCATATTCTTCATCTACAGAACGAGTAAGAAAGGAGGCTACAGAATAAGGAAAACCCACAGTGAGGCAATTATGTTGGAGAAAAGATACAGTAGGGATAATAAGAAGAACAAATGAAAGTACCAAAAGAGCTAAATTAAAGGAAGTCATGTATCAGTCTATGGTGTTGGTGAAGGGCTGCTGATATATTATCAGGTTAATAGCTTGAGCATTGTGATCTGTGTTAAAGGCTGTTCTGTAAGCAATTTCGCAAGTTCATGGAATCTTCCCATTATAGCTGTTCTAGCCAGCATGATACAACACTACAAGGACACATAAAGTTTAATGGCGGTGGATGGGAACGTACAAAATGGTGGCCCCATACAGGATGGAAATCGGACATAAGTTATTTATTTTTTGTTTCCAGCTTTAGTTGCATCAGGGGACACTAGACAGCCAGCTGTTCGTAGTTACTAGCTGAATAGACAGACCACTTCCTCTGTTTACAGTATCATAATAAACCCAGACTGTGATCTTATACATGGGGCTGGAGGGACCCAAAGGCACTTTTTTTAAAAAAGAAACTATATATTATAGAGCTTCCAGGCTGTTTCTTTGTTTTCATGGTCCCACTGAATAATAAGAGTTATACTTACATTAAAGATTTGTATTTATTTATTCACAGAGACCAGACAAACTGACTCACTAGTAGCTCTCATCAGACTTTGGGAGACCATTATACACAATAATGCATGCTGATGTAGTGGTTCATAGATTATATACTGGAAATGTTTAGGATAGCTACCCCATAGTATATAACTTTTCCCCAAAACATTATTGCTGACCGTGTCTCTCAATTCATAAAGGACTTACCATATACTACACCCTGCTATAGGTGAAACTGGTTTCTTGCATGTGCTTCCACTGAAATCAATAGACTTCTCTTAAATATAATGTGGGGCATGCATTCATTTGGAATGCTCAACTCACCTGCCATGAAATAATAGATATTTACTTAACTCCTAATCTATGTTGCAAGCACAGTCAATGGAGCATCACATAAGCAATACTTCATAAGCAGCTCATCTTGAATGTTCACAATAAGCATTAAATATCCCTGTCCCACAAAATATAACCCCTCTCCATCACCACCACCCAGATATTATCTGCAGGGTTCTGCCATCATTGCCAAGAGTTTAACATGGGGGGAAATGACCGTATATAAACTTGTTTCAAGATGTCTAAAGGCAGGCTCTAAGGCCTGGTTTGCATACAATGACCAACATGTATATGGCACTTGAAATCATTTGTGTACAGTGGCTCAACATACAGATTTGGCAATGCTCATACAATCTTCCTTTCTGGATGTTTGAAGGGATGAAGACTGCTTGATCCATGTGGCAAATTGCTGCACATGAACTGGGCACAGTGTGGTAACAGCTGCCAAGGAGAGATTCCTCCATATGGAAGCCATAGTATGCAAGTTCACATTGTGATTCTGAAGGCATAGGAATTCAGAACTGCTCCAGACTAACAACTCCAGTGAACACAGCAGCAAATGCACACACCCTGCTGAGGTTTGGGCTGCAACCAGTGTGGGGTTGCATTCTCTTGTGGAAATCCAATTTTAAGAGCCACACATCTATCTACTTCCTCAGGGCAGGACTAAATGAACTTTTAATTATATCAACAGCCTTGGTAACCTTTTGTTCTTAAGGCACCACAGGTGACGATCCATCTAACTAGGGCATGGAAGAACTTAGCCCCATTCACATAAGAGTGAAACCTTATCCCAAACTTCTAAAGGTTGCAATACTTTTACACAACGTTGAATTATAACATTAAACCTTCCCCATGCATCTCATTCTGTGCAATCAATAGATCGTTGTGGCACACCAAGGGCAATGTGCAGTGCAAGATTGGCCTCAAAATGTTATATGGCATGAATTTAGCAAATGAGCGTCATATACATGCAGGCAACTCCAAATTTATGTGACGGTTCAAGGCACCACATGCGTTTAAGTGAAAACACATATATTTGAAAAAGTGTGTAAACACTCCATTCCGCCCACCCCACCCCTTTCTGTGATGTTTTTGAGTCACTTCAGGCCTGGGCACAATGCATGTATGCGCAGACACACACATATTGAATGCACGTAAATGGGGAGTTGCCTGTACAGTATATAACTTTCAGCCTCTGATTGAGGAAGTGAAAGCAGGTGTCAGTTTTAGAAATAATATTTATTTAATTTTACATACCGCTTCGCATTTCAGCAGAAATCTCAACGCAATTTACATTTCCTAACTAAAAGGAAACAACGCAAGAAATGCAATACAAATTCCAAAAACAAAACAAAACAACTTTAAAGACAACTCCAGATTTTAAGTAACATAATTGAAAACAGCAATAAATTAAGATTGCTAGAAGATGGGTCGGAAAGGGTTCGCCCAGAAATAGCAATGTAACATTTATTCACATTTGAGAAGAATGGTGTGCTATACATATCTAAGAAATAGAGAGGCAGCCACCTTATAAAGATGGGAAACAGGAAGATACCGTGACTGAACATGACCATAATGTAAGGATGGCCAAAGCAAATTGTTCTGAAGAAATTAAAACATCACCTGCAGGTGATATTCAAGGAAGTTTAGAGCTTTCATAGAAGTGTGATTAGGATCACGTAATCTAAGCCAAAATATATGGTGGTGGTCTCACAACTCCGGACATATCACAGTTAATGATTATCTAGACCTATTTCCATTGGGCTTTTGGCCGGGATATGGGACTAAGACCGCTGTGGCTGATTAGCTAAATCTAACTCCAGTGTTGGAGCTTGTCTGTCTTTGAATACCAGTTGGTGGTATTCATAGAAGTCTTGTTGCCCTCAGTTCCTGCTTTGGGGCTTGCCATAGGCATCTAGTTGGTCACTGTGCGAACAGGATGCTCAACTACTGGCCTGGCCTGATCCTGTAGGCTCTTCCGACGTTCTTTTGACCTTTAAGGCCTCTCAGCTGCTTTAAATACCATAGATTGTTATATTATTCTGCCTGGTTGGGTGGAGCCTTTCAGGCATTGTGTATTGCAGTGGTTCTGGGCCTGTCAGGTCGGGAGGGGGGCTATGGTTTGATGCCATAGCCTTTGCACTATGGTGTCCCACAGGGTTTTGGCTTGTCCCCCATTTTGTTTTTTAATATAGCGGTACCTAGGGTTACATATACCTAGGGTTATACCTAGGGTTATAGCGGTACCTAGGATTTGGCGGTTCGAATCCCTGCGACGGGGTGAGCTCCCGTTGCTCAGTCCCTGCTCCTGCCAACCTAGCAGTTCAAAAGCACATCAAAGTGCAAGTAGATAAATAGGTACCGCTCTGGTGGGAAGGTAAACGGCGTTTCCGTGCGCTGCTCTGGTTCGCCAGAAGCAGCTTAGTCATTCTGGCCACATGACCGGGAGCTGTACACCGGCTCCCTCGGCCAATAAAGTGAGTTGAGCGCCGCAACCCCAGAGTCGGTCACGACTGGACCTAATGGTCAGGGGTCCCTTTACCTTTACCTAGGGTTACAAACTTAACTCGTTCCGGAGGTCCGTTCCTAACCGAAACCGTTCTTAACCTGAGGCATGCTTTCGCTAATGGGGCCTCCCATTGCCACCGCGCCGCTGGCATGTGATTTCCGTTCTCATCCTAGGGCAAAGTTCACAACCCGGAGCAACTACTTCCAGGTTAGTGGAGTTTGTAACCTGAAGTGTTTGTAACCCGAAGCGTTTGTAAACTGAGGTACCACTGTATCTACATGAAGTAACTGAGCTAACTTATTTGGAGTGAGATACTAGCAAAATGCTGGTTGGAATTCAGTTCTATTGCTTCTTGCAATTTAATACAAAGGAAGCAGTTGATATCTTTGAACATTGCCTGGATTCCAGACTCACTCTAGATTTTCTTTTTATTCTTTCCAGACCATCATTATTTCTATGTGTGTATACGCGTATATATTAAAAATATGTATTTTTAACTTAACAGTATCTCTGGATTGTGGGATAACCAGACTTGTATAACCATCATGCTTAAGTCACACATGATAGAGTTAATACCATAAAGTAAGCTGCCAGGCTTAGCTATGTCCACTTCCCCTCACCTTTGGAGGAGCTAGGTAATCAAGCTTTATTCTCCTCCAGTCTACATGTGAACTTCAGTGTGTGAGCTCTGAGCTGCTCCTTCCAGCCACATAGCTTTAACAAGCCCCTCTTGAGTTCCCATACCAATAAACTAGGAACTTTTACCACTTTTAGCTAAGCTAGCTACTGCCTGGGCAACCTTTTCTGCAGTATATGAACCTGACCTTTGAAGAGTTTATAAGTAAACCAAATTTTAACATACCAAGCATGTGGTCTTCTTCCTATGCTGAGGGATGAGAAAACTTTGGAAAGAAATTTTTTAAGGGGACATTTTGCAATTCACTTGGAGAAGCGTATTTTAAAGGTCCAACAACCTGTATTTCCATGCTTTACTTTGCTGCATATTTTGTGATTTTAAATCTCTACTGTGGTTCTCTCACCAAAGAAGACTTGCCCTAAACAGGGATCTCGGTGCATATATATATATATATGTGTGTGTGTGTGTGTGTGTGTGCGCACCAACATGGATCTCAAGAATGAGTACCTTAAAATAATAAGAAATTTCATTTTTACATTTAGAAACTATCATTTTGTTTCCTAAAGGAAAGTTGAACCTGATCTCTAAACCTGTTTTGAGGCAGAAAACTATGCATGCCATGGGGGGGGTGTAGCCAGTTCCATTACAACATATTGATATATGGAATATCAGAGCTTTTTCTAGCAGATATAAATAAATATGCTGCAAAGAACACAGCCAAAATTATGCAGAATAAATTGCCAGTAGACCATATTTCATCAGTCTACAGAATGTGTACACACACACACAAATATTTTCTGTGTGTATGCATACATCTGTTTTATGAGATATATATATATGTAGATGTAGAGATATAGATATAGATATAGATATAGATATAGATATAGATATAGATATGACTCGTTCACACACAAAGAGGGACATGCACAGAAAGAGAACAGGAAACTATAAACCCAACAATACAATGGAAAGCTCTGGTGCGTATAATTTTTTTCAGTTATTTTCTGAAATGAATAAAAGAATACATTGCAAATGTTTGTTCTTTCATCCTTTTAACAGTACTAACCATGGAGCCTTTAATCTAGGCAAGAAAGAATTTAAATGAGTTTCTCAAATCTTGAAAAAAAATAAAAGACGCAAGGAAGTTAAATATAACCTGCTACTTTTTAAGTGGTCTTTGTTTTATTTTTTTTAATAACAAAGCTGAAAACAGAAAACAAAATGCAGTACTCAAATCAATGGGCTGTTTTGTAAAAAACACTAAACCATAGGTTAGTGCTACATGTGTGAGCCAGACTAAGTCTGACCAAACCTTGGGATCATGTACACACACACACGGGGGGAGAGAGAAAGAGAGAAGGGAGGATCCTACTACTGTGTTTACTTTCAATATCCACTAAACCTGGTTTGTTATTATGTACAAACCAGGGCTTGTGGTTTAAATCAAACAAGCCAGCTTCATAACCCATGGTTTGGAAATAGTTTGGTTGGAAACTTACAAGTTTGTTTTAAATGACAGTTGTTGCTAAGTAATGACAAGCTAGGATTTGTGGAAGCTGAATGTAAACACAGGAAAAGTCCTTCTGCTGGTTGCTCAGTGGAGGCAGGCTGCGAACAATAATGAGGGGAGTTTAGACCACACGCAGTTGAGGAAACTATGAGCCACAGAACTGCCATATTTACGTAATGACACAGTTCATTGTGGTATCAACAGATGCATTAAAAAGAGGTAAAAAAAAGACCCTGTTCAATTTATCACATTTATAGTGTGCCTTTCCACAGAAGCATTCCAAGTAGCTCAGCAACTTAATTTTTTTTAAAAAAAAAAACCCCTCAAAACTTCAAAACCCCCAAACATCCAGAAAAATATATTGAAAACAGTCAGAAAACAATAAAAATAAACAAATGTAAATTAACAGTCCTGATCTCCAAACAACACACAAGATTCTGGCAACTTCACCAACAGGCTTCTAATCTTAGTGTTTCTTACGTTTGGAAGTGACACTCTCCTGATGAACTACTTTGCAAACTGAGGGAGGGCTGCTTGTATTAACCTGCTGAGACATTATTTGAGGCCTAGCTTCAGGCACCTTCAAAGGCTAAGTGGGTGGCTACCGGAGATGGGGCCTCTTCTGTTGCGAGGCCCAGACTCCCAACCCCATTTTCTCAAGGAGGTTTCAGTACTTATTTATTTGGAAACATTATGATTAGTACCACTGGCAATTTAGAACATACATTGCACTTGCAAAGGATTTTGCAAAGAGACTATATTTTGCAACATCTCCATAAGAAAATCTTTATAGCATATACCAATTTTTGCCAGCCTGGTGCCTTCTACATGTTTTGGACTAAAAGGAAATGTAGAAGTTAAACATGGAGGGCACCAGGAAATGGCAGACTTTGGACATCAAAATTTCAGCGGCGCCCTGAGATGCCAAAATTTGGTGCCCACCCCGTCATTAGGCATTGTTGCGGTGCCCCCTGCTGCACCATCTCGACTTGGTGCCCAGTGTGGGCAAATGGACCGCACTCCCTTAAATGTGCCTCTGCACCAGGTTGCATATGCTCCAAGAAACCTGTAGAACCGATGTCTTTGCAAAATAAACACAGTGGGACCTCTGGTTGTGGACGGGATCCTTTCTGGAGGTCCGGTCGGATCCCAAGGTTTCCGCAACCTGAGCACCGCTTCCGCGCATGCGCCGAAACCCGGTAAAATACTTCCGGGTTTGCCGCGCACGCATCCCAAAGTTTACGTAACCAGAGGGTTACGTAAATGGAGGTACGACTGTAAATAGAAACAGAAACAAGTAAGAGTCTACACAGAAGAACCCATCAGGCTCCATTTTAAAAACTGAAGGCATTGTCCCTCCAACCTAGAAGGCTGATAGGCAATGCTACTTATTTGCTCCTCTGGTCTTATCGTACCATAAAAAAACAGTACCTATACTTCGAAGATGCCGGGGCTTTACAAGGCCTGGCTATTGTTTGTTACACAGAGACAAGGGAATGCCTCCCTACCAAGGCCTTTCAACTACCAGACTCTGCCCTCAGCGAAATAAAGGAAACAATCAGCGGACTGTTCTCCACTGCCTCCAGATGGTGCCCCACATCCAGCCCCGCTCTTGGTTGCCCTCTTCTTCTTCTTCTTTGTTTTGTTTTACACACACTGTGCGGTTTCATCATTCATCCTGACTGTTTGATTTAAGTCTCCATTCCCTGGATCAAGAAAGGCCTGGCAAGGGAGGAAGAATGAAAGAAAGTGACACATTGACAGCTTCTTTTTCACAGTAATGAACCAAACTGCACTCTCTTCTCCCCGCCGGCCTTTTACTATCGTCTTTTCTTTCTCTATAAAGGAACCCCGAGGGGACAGAGGGACAGGTTGGGGGATCAGCTCAGAAGTCTCTTCCACATATAATGTTCTGTGCCTCCACATGTGGGCTTCTCCAATGGAGCCCCTGCTGAGCCCGGGGATTATTTTTAGCTTATCTAACTCTTGCTTGTTTCCTGTATACAATAAAAGGATATCTGTTGACAAATGGCATTAAAGTTTCATCAGGGTACCTCGCAGTCAGAAAGCGTGCAGGCTGTACACCAATGACTTTTGGCTCTCATCAAAAACAAAGTTTCTTTACATTGGCAAACAGGACATTCAGATCTGTTAAATGATCTAAAAGGTTAACTGCTATATCTCCAGTATCAGTAAGACTTTAATCAATTTTTTAAAAATCAAATTTGCATGCAAGGGATAGGAAGACAGGAGGCGATCTTTGTAGAATCGGATGCTTTGTGTTCTTTGCTTTACAAAAGCAAAACACAGTTTTTTTCCAGTCCATTATCAGGTGCTATTGCATCTATAACCAATCTCAGGGTACCCTAGTGAAGGGGTCTGAGTTGAAGTTTCTGTCCTGAAGCCAAGCGGGTGTAGAAGTGCCATAGAACTTCTGGACTCAGCCTGGGGAGGACCAGCTTAGTTGACCTGTGTCTTGAGGTGGTCCATAACCCAGGCATGACCCTGTCCAAACTTCAGCCTTCCTACAAAAGGCTGATATAGGATACACACCCGATGCCTAAGCCAAAGCCTACCTAAATCTGTAATCAATAAAGTTGTGGCAGAGTCTTAACTCCAGAAAGTTGTGTCAAGTTTGTTCCACCCGTTATTATTTCATGACTCTGCCTATGGGGCATGCTGCAAGTGGGTCCACAACCTCTTAGAGTCTTTGGCAAAATCAATATTCTGAATTAAGCTGTTTTAAGGAAACTGTTCCAACTTCGGGGGGAAATGTGTCTTTGCTCCAATTTCACTTCAGAATCAATTATATACCTTTTGTCATGATTTGTCTACAGTAAGGCTTCCCAAGCCTGATCGTGATAAGCTTCCAAGTTAAAAAAAGAAAATGCCCAAGGTTTCTAAGATAAGAAAATGTGAGATAGTCAGCTAGAGAGCAACAAAAAGAGACTGAATAAGCAGAATTTTGTTTCGTACTTATTGGAAGGGGGAAGTGTGTATGACAATATTGGGCCTGGTCACAGAAAATTTCCGTTTTCCAGCAACTGCCCATTTAATTTAACAGCTGTTTGTGTTTTGATATTTGTCAGCACAGGCACCAGGTTTCAGAGAGCTGTGATCAAAGACAGCTTGCTAGACCTCCCACCCAGAAGCAAGGGGCTCCTCCTCCCAGCAGAGCCAAGTTTACCTAACTGCAGGTGGTGGGAGAGCCCCCCCCCCATTTTATCCTTATAGCAACTCTATGAGATTGATTAAGCCAGGCATATGCTAACTCGGCTCTCCAGATGTTTTGAGACTACAATTCCCATCATCCCTGACCACTGGTCCTGTTAGCTAGGGATGATGGGAGTTGTTTGTAGTCCCAAAACATCTGGAGGGCCAAGTTTGCCTATGCCTGGATTAGGCTGAGGGACAGACTGACTGACTCAAAGTCACCCATCAAGCTTCATGGTTGAGTTGGGATTTCAACTCTCGCCTCTCAGGTCCTAGTTCCAACCACCACTCCACATGGGCTCTCCAGTGCATGACCTCTGCTGTGTGCTGCTACCAGATCCGAGCAAACATTAACTAACACACATGCACACAAGCTACTAAAATAAGAATGGAGAAAATAGCAAATGTGGTTTCTTCTGCTTCCAGTACCATTTCCCAATGCATGACCTCTATCTGTGCACATTCATAATAGCTTTTCTGATAGGTATCATCCCATAAGGATTCACTGCAATGATTTGTTCACATGCGGTTTGTTCACTCATGAACACTTCACCAATGATTAATACTACTCTACATCCTGGGAGATTTGAATCCCTGCACAATCCATCTTCTTGCAAAACGTAGTGTTTTATTTATATGAAATTCTACACCATGTCCCTTTTTGAAGATGCTGCCCTGCTATTTCTGGATGTATCTTTTTTATATTCTATTTATGTTAAAAGAAATGAGAGAAAAGAAACAAAGCATTCAAAGGAAGGAAGAAACAGCATCGTCATAGGGATATCATAAAGTACTCCAGCTCCACAGAAGGGCAGAAATGAAGCCAGAATCAGGATGCAAGCAGCCAGCTAAGAGTTTCTTGAGTGGAAAAGAGAAGAAATTGAACTGACTCACATAATAATAAAAGTAGCAGCCTGTATAGACCCGCCTGATGATTCACAAATTCATTAATGCTGCACCCTCAAGTTCACCTGCTTAAATTGAAAACAGGAATTGAGGGGCTGGGAGAGGATAAAGGAGATGTATACTCCCTGCTACCAGAATACAGTGGTACCTCGGGTTACATACGCTTCAGGTTACAGACTCCACTAACCCAGAAATATTAACTCAGGTTAAGAACTTTGCTTCAGGATGAGAACAGAAATCGTGCTCTGGCGGCACGGCGGCAGCAGGAGGCCCCATTAGCTATAGTGGTGCTTCAGGTTAAGAATAGTTTCAGGTTAAGAACGGACCTCCGGAACGAATTAAGTACTTAACCTGAGGTACCACTGTAGAGATAAACATGCAAACTGGGCTATCACGCTTATTTAAAAGCAGGTGAAAAACCCAGAATCTGGACTTTGCCATTGAGTATTTTGAGGAAGAGAATGAACTTTGGCTCCATCCCTTTCCACAGCAACTCACTTTTCTTTTATGAAAAGTCACCTTACAATTTTTAGAGAATTGTTGTCTGGGCAGCCTAGGACCTCCATACACACTGCCCAGCCTTGCACCCCGGGGAGGTCACTTCGGTGCTCACGCAGCAGTTTGGCTTCACCTCCAGAAGAGCCCAGAATTGTCTCTTGAGCCAGACAGATGCCAACATTTGCATGTGCAGCCTGGTTTGTGTGTATGCAAATGTTTGTGAGAAAGACCAACCTCTTTAGATCTTGTTTTGGGCTTCTTGGGTAGAAGTTGCCAAAGACATCCTCTTTGCTCCAGTGCAGAAGTTGGTCCTGTTCCTTTTCAAAATCCCAATATTACTTCCATTACTTATATAGTGCTATCAGCATGCATAGGGTCTTGAGTTCAACTTCCTCCACCCAATTCTTCAGCAAGTTTCATTGCCAAGTACTGTAAGTAATTCTAGCCATTGTGTTCTCTTATTTACAATCCAAAATAGCATAAGCTGATGCCTTTGCTTTACATGAAGCTGGATTGTTTACATCAGCTTTCCAAAACATCTGGCTGGCACCAGGTGGCCAAAGGCTGGTTTTCATCTCCAATGGCTTCTTTCAAGTCTTGACATTAAACACAATGCTAGACTTACTGGGTTGCTGTGAAGAATTTTCAATTATTCTTAACTCAAGCAACCAGTAGCTAAACTCAAATCTCCCAGACCTTAAAAGTTGGCTAACCTCACAACATGCTTTACTAAATACCTCCAGTGTGTTTTATGAACAACTGCCAAGTATACTGGGTTGGGGGTCGTGTCAAATGTAGAGAGTAAAAAACAGAGCAGATACGCACTGTGTGCCAATTTCTCTGTGTTATGACTAATGTGACATCATGAGTCGCCACTAAATCACTGCACTGTGAAAACAAACACTCCATCACAACAGAGCACTCAACCTTCATCTTGTTCTATGGCAAATAAATAAATAAATTCTCTGGAGGTTTTCCAAAGCCACCTGCTACCTAGTACTTAGCACCTCTATCATCCATGTCAATGATAGGGGCTGTCAGCTAGTACCTGGAAAGTGGGAACTTTCCATAGCTTGTCACAGACACATAGAAGCGTTCAGTAGGTTCTAAAGAGGCTGCTTTCAGTAAACCAATTTTATTTCGTGCAGGAATGTGCATTTTCAAAGAACCATTCAGTCACAAGACCATATGGATCACTTTTATGCATTTGGCCCAATGTCCAGCATTCTGTACCCAGCATTCGGTACACCCAGGAAACTCACGAGCAATTCCATCAACAGCATGCACATCTACTGCGTGTGTTCCCGGTCTTTTGAGCATTAACTTATCAGAGACTTCTCAAAGTTTAATCAGGGCTAAAAGCCATTATTGGATCAGTTTCAGCTGCACAAATAGGGACATGTAGATTAGATGTTACAGGGAATGTCCAAACTTTCAGTGACTATAGGTATTGAGATGCGAGTGCTAAAATTCCTTGGTTATTAAACAAGAAGGCAGTAGTTGCCCAAAAGGAGGGATGCAAATTTTCAGTACTTTTGCAGAGCTGCTATTATACAATGCAATGTGGCAATTGCAATTGCTCCACTCATTTGTAATCTTCATTGACTTCCCATGTGTTTGTAGTTTAGTACTATTCAAGTGCATTCAGCATGATACAGTTGGTATCATGAAAATGCTTAAAGTCTGGAAAGGCTTTTATTGTTTTACTTAGATTCTTATATCACAAACCAGGAGTTGCACTCTTGCTAAACCTCAAACGTTCAGAACCGCATACGATGAACCTGGCAACTGGAACATTCCTAGTAGAAGTGAAGTATGTGTTTGTTTTATGCTAAGAACATGGAAATTTAGGTTTCTGATGCTGTATCACTGGTTAGTTCCAGTTCACACACGTAAGATGGGAAACATCAGCTGCATAAATAAGATCGCTTCCTGAAGAAAAATACAACAAGCCATAGAGTCAGCAGAGAAACATAACTGGACCTCGTTACTTATAATCTTCAGGCAATTGTATTCCAGCTAAGTTCTACTCAGAAAAGACCCACTGAAATTGATGAACCAAAGTTAGTAACCTCCATTAATTTAAATGGGACTATTCCAACTAACATCGTATACAACCCAATGGACTGGTAGTACATGATTAATCGCAAAATAGAACTTAGCATAAAATACTAAACAAAACAAAGTACAACGGTTATAAAAGCAAATAAACTGAAAATGGCTTTCAGAAAACAAAAGAAAAAGAAAGAAATATACATGGTGTTCATTCTAATTCTTGATATATGCATACTTTATTCTTTTCTCTTTTTTTTAAGGCAGAACCTTGTAAGGTTCTTTGTTATGGTGAAGAATGTACCACACACACTGTGACAAAATTCCCTTGATCCTTTGGCCTGCAAGGTTTTTTTTGTCCCCGTTTTCCATTCCATTCGTGCTCCACAGCCTTAGTATTTAGCACAGAGAAGTTGTGCATCACAATGCAGGTTGCTAAGTGACAGTTACAATATGTGCAATGACCAGCTCCCACATAGGCTTACGGAATCTCTCAGCCTGTGCAAATGTAGAACTGATTGAATGAACAGTGGGTGACACTATATTGTGCTTCCATGGAATTGCTCCAACCCAAGTAAGTCAATGCCTCCCAGCCTTTTTTTTTTTTTACGAAGAACAAATGAGAAAATGGGAGATTTAATTAGAAGTCTAGCAATCTTACCTAAAAGTAACACGCTGTGTAACAAAATGCAACTTCCATAAAATTTTCAAAACTGAAAAGGCTTGATTTTGCTTTGTCCAGTTGTCATGTTAAACAGATAAGGACAACAATAGATAAGGCTGGCATACTGAAAATGTGATTAGCTCACACATAATACACGCTTATCCCTTATTCTAGATAACATAGTATAATGGATACTCTTTACAGCTCAACATTATAACTGAAGTTAACAGACCAGAAAATGCACTCACGTATCATGAAATCACTTTTTCTTTTTTGATGTTCAGCATGCAAATTAATTATAAACTACACTCAGACCATAGGAACAATGGAGGGGATGAGGGTGGCAAGAAAAAAAGAAGGGAGGTGCAATCAGCTAGAAAAGGCTGGAGGTTTGTTGTAAACAGCTGAAATGTCAAACTAAAAATGAGAAGTCTGTGCTTAGTTCAACACCCATTCAGCGTGTTTTCCCATTAACCTTGAAAGTGATCATATTTATGGTAGCCGCGTCAGCTGTTCTTAAGTATTCATATTTTCATTTCCCAGTTCCACATTTCTCTTTCCGCTTTAAATACAGCAATCAAAACGTCCATGCCCACAGCACCATTGTCAAATTATCAGTAAATTATATAAACCAATAGCTAACTCATTTTCCAAGTATAGATCCTTATGCAGCCAATATGGCACCCAGCCCCATTCAAGAGCAGGCACCCCCAACCTTGGCCCTCCAGATGTTTTGGGACTCCCATCATCCCTGACCACTGGTCCTCTTAGCTAGGGATGATGGGAACTGTAGCCCCAAAGCATCTGGAGGGCCGAGTTTGGGGTGCCTGACCAAGAGGGAGATTATTAGTGGAGGTGGTGACAGCTGCCGTGGCACTAACAGCCACGGGGGTGGGGGCAGGTAGCAGCTAGTCACAGAGCTGGTGGCAGCAGCAGGGAGTCAGGGCAGGTCTATGGGTGGCAAATAGGCTGGGCATAATCCACCACTCTTTGTAATCTGCTGCCTAAGGCATGTGTCTCAGTGTTCCTCATTAAATGTCCAGCTCTGCAGAGTATCCTGGGAAAGGGTATGGAGTACACCTGGACAGGAGTATTCCACACTTCAACATCTTGTTTTAGGTCCCACTTGAGTAAGATGAAAATAGTATGGAATTGTTCTGAGAGAAAACAAAATTTGACACCTCCTTGAATATATTCACTGAAAAGAAATTTAAGGAATGAAATTTGTGGAGAAGGCAGAACTTGCTGAAGGACATGCAGTGGTGGAGCTCCTCAAAATTTTGACTGATTCTGGCCCACAACAAAGGCCTGCGTATGCCGATTTGGCTATAAACAATGGCCCTGGGTACGATGTGCTGACAGAAGTAGGCAAAGGTAAAGATTCCTATCTTACTGACTTTTTAAGACTAAAATATAAAAACGCCTCCCAGAGGTCTCCATCTGCTGTAGCTGCTGAGAGCCAGCGTGGTGTAGTGATTAAGAGCAGTGGACTCGTAATCTGGCGAACCGGCTTCACTTCCCCGCTCCTCCACATGCAGCTGCTGGGTGACCTTGGGCTAGTCACACTTCTCTGAAGTCTCTCAGCCTCACTCACCTCACAGAGTATTTGTTGTGGGGGAGGAAGGGAAAGGAGACTGTTAGCCACTTTGAGACTCATTAAGGGGAGTGAAAGGCGGGATTATCAAGTCCAAACTCTTCTTCTTCTAGGTGCTTCAAAAATGGCAGCTAGCCACCAGAGGAACTCAGGCAGACTATTCTCTTAATACAATGGAAGGAATGGCACAACAACTGAGAGCCCTTAAGGATCAGAGAGAAAACTTGCAGATCTTGGTTCTTGGATCAAGGAGGTGGAGGTCTTGACATCAGAGGCGATGTAAAGGAGCTTGCTGTGTTTTAAGCTAGTAATGTCTACGTGCTTCCAAGCTAGCAAGATCTACTTTGCTTTCCCCCCTAGAACTCACAGGTTCACCAACAGAAGCTAAATACAACTTAGTGTGCTCGCTGTCCTTCTGTGCCAGAAGTGAGCTCACTGTCCTTTCTCACAAAAATTCATTCCTCTCCCCCAACAAAGCTTTTTTAATTGCAGCAACCTAAATTGTGGTGGGGGAGTTGCTGCTGTTGCTGAACAATTAAGTCAGAAATCCTTGACAAGACTGCACAAATCACCCAGATATCCACCAGTAGATTCCCATCTATTCTGCCCACCTCTGGCTTTAAATTAATTAAACTGGAATATTTGTTGAGGACTCCCCCAAACCCTTCTTAATCCTACTGCTATTTGTGACCACTTCCAACATGAAACTTTAAACAGGTAAAGTACTCGAGAGATTTGTCTCCGTGGATGGCAAGGCAATATTTGCTTTCATGCTATAACCAACTTTCGTGCATATGCTGTGAAAGACAAACTCCAAGAACAGCAAGATTTAAAGAAGGTGGGGGAAAACTAGGGTAGAATTGTACCACTCTACTCTCCTGCAACATATTCACAGTTTAGCATCATGGAAGGGTAAATTCTCAAATAAATTAACTTCAAAAAAGAAACGATAACAAAAATGTTGGTTCTAGAGTTCCCATCTGATGGACAAGGGAACACATGTGATCTGTTCTTCAGACTCTGTCCTCCAGCCTGCCTCAGTGCCATGTGGACTGAGCAAATGGGTGCCATTTACCCCTCTCAGAGCTACAATCCCCAGCACCCTTGACAAACTACAGTTCCCACGTTTCTTCAGGGGAAGCCATGCGCTTTAAATGTATGGCATGCGCCCAGTTTAGGTAGCAGTGGTGGTGTTGCTCCTGTGCTGCAAAACCACAATGGAAACATTTTGCTATAATTAATGCTGTCCATGGACATTCATGAAAGTGCTCTAGTTTCACCTGGTTTCTCAGCACCACAAATAAACAAGGTTATCAGCCCCTGGGCCCACTTCAGAGAAACATGATCCTGACCCCTGAAACACGGAGTGCTTCCTTTTATATAGTTCTCACTGTGTCCTATCCAGCTCAGGTTAATGCAGCCTCCAGCCAATACAAGGGTAATTCACTCCCAGGCTGAAGTTCCAGCAGACAATCTAATAATCAAAGGACTAGCTGCAAACAGTGACTGATGGCCTTCTAAGAAACAGCAAAAGCTAAAACAAACAGAATGTTTTCAACTATAGGCTGGAAGCACAGGTCTGGGCTCTGGAGGGCTTTGAGGTGACTCTGCGTCAATCGCATCTGCTTTCTGCAAGTCTTTAAAACGGCCAGAACAGCTGAAAACATAAACTTTGAAACTCCGTCAGTGGTAAAATTTGCAAGCTGTTAATACAAAAAAAGCTTAACACCTCTCTTTGCTTTAGGCATCACAACGAAGCAGCACACAGGATAGGAAGCATGGCCTGCTCGTGTGTATCCTGTTTCCTTTCCCCTCTTCTGCCATTAAATTCTGAAGCTTCTAAAGGGGCTTCCAAAAATAAAAAAGAAGGAAGGGAGGGGGAAGAGTTGTCTCATCAAATAATAAAGTGTGACTAGAGATCTGAGCCACACCTGCCCTAGCTAGATACAGAGGTAAGCACATACAGTATTCTGCTTCCTACAGTTTCTTCCACAATTCTACAGTTTATTAAATTACACATAAACTTCCTCTTTCACTTCCTCTCTCTTTTGAAGTAAAGATTCCAGGTTTCTATGGGTCCTGCTACACTGTGCATTGGAAGCCATATTCTGAATTTCCCAAATCCCACGCTTTCACATTTTCCTCCAACCAGGCCTGAGATAAGCTGATCATTTATTACAATGAACATGCCTTTACTCACACGCTGCACACATAAAACACTCTAGCCATAGATTGTCATATTGCTGTAGCTCTCTGAAGTGTTCCCTGGGCAAGCCCAGGCTTCATTTCCCATTGATCTGTAACCAGTTAATCTCCCTTTTCTTAAAAGATGAATTTCATGCACCATTAAACTATGGAAAAACAACTTTGCAAGATTCTAGAGCTGAGCTTCAGCCCTCAATACCAAGGCCAGTACATACCCACCTGCAAGCCTTTTTTCTCCCAACAATGACGCAAAGGGCATTCTTGGTCAACACCCACTTCTGACAATTGTACAGTGCCCCAATTCTACACAACACTGGGAACTGTCCACCACTAAAATTAATGGAACTAAATTTTAAGAAATGTGCTTAAAATTGGGATGAAAGTCCAAAGAATCCACTTGCCAATGACAAAAGCTTTGATTAATTTAAAAAAGCAAAACCCCAACTATTTAACAAACTCTTCCATTACTGCAGACCCCTAGATAATACAACGTTTATAAAAATGGCACTGGACTATTTTTAAAACTTCTTTTACCTCACAATTACAGGACACAATAGCTTTGATTCCCCATATAACTCAGCTGGAACTCTTGTAAGCCGACTGAGAGGAAATGTCAGGTTTCAGAGGGAAATTGGCTATTGTAGTTGCTCAGAGATTTCAGAATCTCTGCTTTTGAATAACTTGTATAAATGCACCTAGCACATATATAGTGTGTTTGAGTGGTCTAAGCACATAATGCACTTTAGGCCACTTTGGAAATAACCAGGGCTTTTTTTCAGCCAGAACTCAATTCCGGCACTTCTCAATGGGGTGCCACTGCCATTCTAAGAGAACGAGGGAGGTGTTTATGGTGAATTCCGGCACCTCTTCTTCTAGAAAAATAACACTGGAAATAACCAGTGTTATTTCCCAACTAAAAGATATTTGGCCCACAACTCCCCCTCAACCTTCTTTACATTAGGGCTGTATGAGATTTCAGTACAACATGCTTGGTCAGATATACCCCATACAAATTAATGCTGTAATTGTTCTCATTATTAAGAAAAACGGTAAAGTGAGCTCCCAGGTATATTAAAAAATGCAAAGCCGTCTATTCAATTGCTTCTGGCTTTGGTGTCTGATTTAGTCCGTCTTGAGTGAAAGCCTATTTAGTGGCTACCAGGCATGGAATCGGTACTATCCACAATTGGTGTCACTATTAAGTTTGTTTGAAGAGCCAAGTGTACTATGTCAGCAATAATGAGAGCTATGAACCCTGGCTCGTTTTGTCTTGGAGGGTCATCATCTGGTTTACCCGTGGAGCACAGAACAAAGAAGCAAAATGCCTTCTTTACAGTAGTAAACACTAGCCATAATTCTACACATATCTATGGATGCTTGCCTCTCCAGAATCTATGGAGCCTAAGGGTGCTTAGCAATGCACTGAGTTTAATCATGAGAAAGGATTGATCCTTAAAAAAAGGACTATAATAAGCAGACATTTATAGTATACTAATGGCACTTACAGTCCAGTCCTAAAAAATGTACTGCACCTGCAAATAAGTGTGCCAAACACAGCCCCAATGTACGTGCATGCATGTGTGCATAAATAAATTTCAAAGCTCCTTTACGGTTATGTTGGAAGGGCACTGCACAGCTAATACAAACAGATGCACCACTGCAGATCTTTAGGACTTAAGAAGAGGAGTTTGGATTTGATATCCCGCTTTATCACTACCCGAAGGAGTCTCAAAGCGGCTAACATTCTCCTTTCCCTTCCTCCCTCACAACAAACACTCTGTGAGGTGAGTGGGGCTGAGAGACTTCAAAGAAGTGTGACTGGCCCAAGGTCACCCAGCAGCTGCATGTGGAGGAGGGAGATGCGAACCCAGTTCCCCAGATTACGAGTATACCGCTCTTAACCACTACACCACACTGGCTTTCTTGATACTAGTATGTCAAATTACTTAGGAACACTGGAATCTGCCTTATCAAATTATTGGTCCATCTATCACTACACTGTCTACGAACGCTAATATCCAGCAACTCTCCAGGGTTTGGAGCCGGTATCTTTCTTAGGCATCCTAGAGATTCCAGGGTCTGAACCTGGATCTTCCACATGCAGAGCAGACGTTCTACCACTGAGCCACAGCCCTTCGACAATTCAAGCAGAGGTGGCTCACTCCTTCTTAAATTTTCACCCCACCTCTGCAAGGCAAAGAAAGTAAAGTAAAGTCATTAAAGCAAGAATCCTATATGCACTTACCTGGAAAACAAGTCCCAGTAAACTGAATGGGACTTCCTTCTGACTAGCCATACATATAGCATTGCACTGTAATAAGCTTCCATAGTACATCCATGTAGTGTTATGATCCCCTTTCTCAGGATCACTTAGCTCTTTTCATCATGACTGGGGAAACGGAAATAATTGCTCACAACTATATACAAAACGAGATGCTAGCACATATCACATCGTACTGCCATTTTGATTAGTGAATATATTGATAACTAAGTTTCAAGTTTTAAAACTAGTTTTAAATGGACAAACCCACAAATGCAGTTCACTTTAGAAGATCATCCTGACAAAGCAGCTGTTGCCTAACCTAAAAAACAGAAATATAAATGACCATTCTTAACTTCCTGGAGAAAATTTCTTCAAGCGTGGCCCAAAATATTTGGTATAACAGCATAAAGAGAAGTTATGAAGTGCCAAAACATGAGGAATCCCAATGGGTAGCGCTGTACAAATATTCACATAAAGCTAAAATGCAGATTGCAACCAATGCCCTTAATGATAACCAGCTGATGGGTTCCGTCCCCCCCCCCACAGCCTCTCCCATTAGATTACATGTTGCCCTTTCTAAACATCAACTCCCACAAGACCATTAATAATGTCTCCTAAATTAGATTGTTAACATCTGCTGATTTTTGTCAATGGCGTGTTGGGCTTTTCTTTGATAGCCTTTCCTGTTCCCACTAAATCATGCTTGCTGTGGCCTTAACTAGAAGGGAGATAAGTGACGCTTTGCTGAGAGTCCCTACTAAGAAAATAACTAGGTAGAGGCCAATTCTTTACCCACCACATTTCAGAAGACGTTTACAACTGAGTTTGCAAACCACATATATACGCTGCATCTGATATTTGTTTTTGGCAATTTCGGGCTTACCTATAATATTGTAGCTCTGATTCTAGCTGCTGAATATATATCTGCAGCTGCGGCATTTTATGGGCTTTAGCTTCGAGTTCCTTTACTTTTCCTAGGCTGTTAAGGACAGCATACCGTGCTTCTTCAACCTTTTTCCTCATTTCCGCTTGCTCTCTCTTTAGACTGCGGTTGCAGTCTTCCAGGGCGACCAGAGCTTCGTGAGAATTCCTCAGTTCTTTTTCCAGTTCTTGGTTGAACCTAATTGCTTCTTCAATTTGTCCATCCCTAGAACTTCGGATTAATTCAACCTCTTTTAGAACACTCTGAAGGCACTTGGAAGTCTGGGACTGACCGTTAGCTAATTGTGTCCGGTTGCTTATAAAACAGGTCCCATTATTCTTATGGTTAGCATGGCTCTTCCACAATCCTACCTACAATCAACAGGGCAGAGGTAGAAATATAAATTAGAAGGAAAGAAGCTACACTTTAATCAAGCAGATTTGTTTCAAATTCACTTTTGTCCATGATGTTTTAGAAAGTCCAGCTCATATAGGTCTCAAACAAGGCTAAAGTACCACAAAGACTGAACCATAGACCTATAGATGTCAGAAATTTCCAATGAAAACAAGAAAAGGAAATGAAATTGCTACAGTTTGCATCCTAGCCTATGGTCACGAATGGAAATCAGTCAGCAAATATGACCTATATTTGCTAACATCACTGTTGTTTAAAGTCCTCAAACAACACATAATTAATGGATTCTTTTAACACTGATTTCTAATGTAAATGAAAAGTAAAAACAATGCATGTTATATAGCTTACATCAAACAGTATCATTAAAATAGTGGGCAGTCAGACAAATAACCTAGTATTTGATGGAAACCAAACTGCAGTGGAACAGAAACAGTACTGCTTTGTGATGGTTACAGGCTGGAAAGCAAACTGCTGCCATTTTACGTTCCTTCCTATAGCCACCCATGCACAAACCTGTGACTACCGTACATTACGTTTTCTTACATTAATATGAATACAGTCAGCCCGCAACTTACACAGGGTCATATTTCGGGGATCGCACCTAAAGCCAAAATCACATATGGTCAAAAAATGTTGGGTTCAGTGGTGGGTGGGATTGCCAAAGTCTCTTTTTTTTCCCCAGACGCCTGCCCCCAATTATTATTATTTTTAAACAAATTACAAAAAAGAGCCAACTGTGCAAAGCTGAATGTCCTGTAGTTAAGTGTGTAAGTTTGGGGCTTACTGTACTCAAATTTTCTCTCCCCAGCTCCATTCCAATACATGGGGCGGCTTCCTTGTAATACAAGAACTGATCAAGGCATACACCCGTGAACAGGAGGGTCTTAGGAGAACGGTACTAAAACCAATTTTTGAGGCTGGTCATTATGAAGCATGCTAAGCAATGAACACATTAGAAGCCATACAAGAACAAACGTGCAGAACACACAATTGAGAGTGTATTCTGTGGATCTTTGACTCTCACAAAGTCACAAACACAATGATGTAATAGCTTGCCAGAAATTCAGAAGTGCATCAGAAGTATCACAGGCTGATACTAAGATCTGTTGCACCAAATGTAGAAGTGCAGACTGTATCATAACTATGAGCACAAACTTAAGTTCTTTTGAATCTGTATTTATGTTTACCTTCAAGGTAAATATACCCACACATCAGTACAGGATAAAGCTGCTTTTATGACTATTTATTTTTATTGGGTTGTATCCAGTGGTGTCCATGCTTGAGAATAGGCTTTGGCCTGTGCAGTGGAACTCCTCACAATCTGCTCCAGGGAGTTGGAGGACCCTCTGGGACAGAGATGGGGGTGCATATGGGGAGGGAAGAAGGAAGTCATGTTGCACAGGCAGGAGTTTTAAATGTTATTTAAAACAGTTATATTCCATTTTCAAAAGAGTTGCTCCAACCTATAATCACTTATAAATAAAACAACAAAAATGGCACAGTGGGTCTTTTTAAAAGCAAATTACAAAGTGTGCTCACACACGCACACAACAAAAAATGTTTTTGAAACGGGACAATTTTGATATGAAAAAGAGGAGGAAACATGGACGCCAGAGGGCCCTCTCTGGGTAGGAAGCTCCACAAAGTGGGGGCTCCCGCTAATAAGGCCTTGTGTTATCACAGAGTGGGATTACACCTTCTCAGAGATGTCTGCAGGTGAGGGACCTGATGCATAGCAGAGTCAGATTTGGTAGTAACTCTGGTGAGTATTTATGACCACCCATCTCCTGAGCTGCAGAAGGAGATGATGAGGAAAACTTGTGGGGAGTGACAGCAGCGACAAATGCTACAGACTGAAAATTATTCCTCATGTTTAGTCAAAATCCATTTTCTTTTAGTTGGTGGCCTTTCCCTCCAGGTCTCGCCCTCGGGGCAACAAAAAACAAATTTGCTTCACCACCTGTGCCAGAACTCTGAACTCCCTTCACATCAAGGGGCTCCTTCCCATCTAGACAACCTTCTGGCAGCCACATGAGAGTGCTGGGCAGGACCAGAGACCCAAGTGCATGAAGCAAGAAATGAAAAGTTTACTTCTGTTTGTTGGGCTAGTTTCTACACCCACCCCCATATCCATGTCTCTTTCCTTCCTCCAAGCAACCAAGAGAGCCATTATTCAGAATCAAGGACACATTTCATTCAGGTAAAAACACTCAAGAAAAAGGGGAACTAGTAAAAGGTGATCTATAAGATCTGAAGAAAAGTCAGAGTAGAAGGTGGAATTTGACACTGCTTTAGGGCGTGGCCTTGAGTGGGCGTGCCTATGGAGGAGGCGTGGCCTGGGGAGATTTCCCACGCCCAGAGAGCCCCGCGCTGTCGATGTAACAGTCCTTAAACTACCTGAAAACTATTTGATGAAACTTTACAGGGTGCTGCGAGAAAGGCCCTTTTTTTGCACGTGCCCACAGGCACTCCCGTCTTTCCTGTGACCTCTTTTCTGCCTGAATTCCAACGAAGTGAGCCCACGCTTGGACAGCCTCGCCCCTCCGGCCCCCTCACCTGCAGCGCCAAGCACCGGGCGTCGCTGCTTTGCAGAGCCGCCCTCATGTCCTCCACCAGCTCGCGCAGGCTGGCGTTCTCGTCCTCGAGCTTGACGATGCGGTCCTCCGCCTGCTCCAAGGCCACGATCTCCTCGTAGCACTCCCGGGAGCACGAGCCCGACGGCACCAGCCGGCGATCCGAGCCGGGCCCGGGGGGAGAAGGTGGCGGAGAGGACGACGAGGACGACGGCGAGGAGGTGCACGAGGTGGAAGCAGACCCCCTGGCGTTGCTGCTGCTGCTGCTCCGACGGCCGCCCTCTCTCTTGTTCGACGGCCCGCGCCCGGCCCCCGCCTCCTTCTCCCGGCGGCGGCGCAGCGGGCTGCGGAGCCGGATCTGGGTCTCGATGTGCTCGCTCTCCTTGCCGGCCGGGAGCCGCGCCACCCCCGCGACGCCCCGGCCCGTCGCGGGGCAGCCGGCCTTGGCGCTGAAGTAGCCGCACAGCTTGGCGTGGAACTGGCGGAAAGTCAGCTCCGGGGCGACGTCCTCGTAGAGGCCGGCGCATTCCTCCGGGTCGGCGGCCGCCTCGTCGCCGCCGCCGTCCGCCTGCAGCCCCAGCACCCCGCACAGGGTGCGGAAGTCCTCGCCGGGGATCCTGCCTTCGGCCTCGCAGTCCAGGTGGTGGAAAATCTCTTGCAAGTACTGGTCCAAGCCCGTGGCCAGCACCACGATTTCGTTCTCCACGCCCCGGTCCAGCCCGTAGTGGTATGCCAGGGCGCTGACCAGCCACTGGGTCCGGCGCGCCGGCCGGCCGTAGGGATCCCAGCCATCAGACGGCTCCATCCTGGCGCGCCGCCGCCGCCTCCTCGCAACTCTGCTCGCCGCTCCCTCCGACCATGCTTCCCGCTTGCAATCGAGTTCCCCGGCTCGGGACGGGCAGAGCTCCCCGGGCCACGCCTCCTGCCTCGCTCCGCCCCTGCCCTGCTGAACGAGAAGGCGCCTCCCTCCTGGTTCGCTAGATGTTTATAATAGCAAGCAGCACCACGCTTGCCGGCCTGCTAAAGGGCTCTAGGCATGATAAAAACCGCTAGGCATCAAAGCAAAGCAAAAGGGGGGGGGGGGAGCAACTAACGTCACATGAGCAACAGCAGCCTCGAGAAACTTTGGGGATCAGATATCAGAAGGCACGCTGGGGCAGCAAAATTTGGATTTAAGAGCTGCGGATCTCCCCACCACTTTTTTCTCCTACAGTCAAGTACCTGCCCCGCCCCCCCGGAGCACAGAATGCGGGTATTTAGCAGTACTGTATACAACTTGCTTACGAAAGCCGAGCCCTTCATACTTCTGGCTGAACGTTTGTTTTTCTTTCAAATAATAAAAAAAGTTGTGATTATTAAAAAGCAGTATCTACAACATAACTCTAAACTTGCAAGCATAGAAGCTTGCAGTGCACCTGATTCAGATCAACAAACTCTGCAAACTTTTTGCACATGAGACTGACAGCAGTTTTCGGATCTTCCCACATCTGTACTTGCGCGTGAAATACCTCCCCCTTAATTCTTAATTTGGGGGGGGGGGGTGAAGTTAGAAATTAACACCAAGGCCAGCCAAATGCAATTGGAAAAATAAATAGCGATCAGGCAATTTAAAAATGCCCTTGAAACTGGTAAATCTCAGTCTCCTAAGTAGCTGAGCCTTTAAAATAGTCTATTCATTCTGAAAACATTCCCACTATTGTCAGCCTGAAGCAATTTGTTTCAGTAGAATTAATCTTCAGAAACAGGACTTTAAAATGGGAGTGTTTACAGAACTTTTGTTATAGTAGCACCACTCAAGAGCAACAGTAATAAATTCAACTATGTTTTTGCTGAAGGATGAAAGTAAATGACTCAGCTTATTCATTCCTGGGTTTTGTCAGCAAATAGCTCATTATTTAATTATTATTTTATTGCATTTGCGCTGGTCTCAGTGTTCATTTCTAACTTCATAAAGTTTCAATAATTAAGCTGTCACTAGGATCAGAAATGTTACGGGCCCATTTTTCAAGGCACATAAGGCAACAGTCATATAATCATCTACATGGCAGTCAACCCCAGTGGACCTAAGGGGACTTGCTTTGGAGCAGACATGCATAGGATTGCACTGTATGTTTAACATTTCACAAAGCTGAACTGACTCCCAGAAGACAATGAAACTACTTGGACATTTATTTATTTGTTACCTGCTCTTCACCATAAGGTCCCAGACAGGATTCAACAACAGACTATATAATTATAAAAACTGGTGACACCGTTGCCATAATAAAACATGTAAAACAGTGCCAGATGGAACAGAAACGTATAAAAGGGGTGGCTCCAACTAAACAAATTACTTCAACTGTCACAGGCCGGGGTAAATAAATGCATGTTCAGCTTTGCAAGGAAGATGCTAAACACACCTCTTTGGAAAGAGAGTTCAGCAGTTTAGGGGCAGCTGCAGGGAAAGGGCTCTCCAGGCACTTCCCTGCACTTCTGAGGGTGGTGAAACTACCAAGAGAGCCCCCACCCCTGGAAATATCAGTACCCGAAGGTTGGTAGGGATGGAGACAGGCTTTCAGATGTTTACACGTAGTCAAACACTTTAAAACACCTTGCTGTCACACTGTTGTTTCTTGCTGCAGTTCTTCTGCATTATGCTGCGGATTTCAAGGGCTTCTGGTTAAAAATAATTATGCATCTTATGATTTGCTGGTTATAACTTCTAAAAGATGTTTATTTGCTCCACCACAGCATATAGTTAAAAGTACCTTGCTTCAAATCAACATGTTTTTGAAAAAGCTGTGAAGGCAGAAATATTTCACTGATGAAGTAACTTGCCCCTTAACCCTACAAAATGTTTGGCAAAGCATAAAGTGGTTGAAAGCATGTGTGTTGTGCTTGTACAGATTTTAAAACTGTCCCCTTTCTTTCACATGAGTAGTTGCAATAAATTGAGCTTCCTGTCCCAATTAGGACAGGCAGCTTATAGTATAATAAATGTTTGCTGATTAAAATGACTGTCCTTTCACAGCGAGTTGAGGATAGTTACTTAATTTCATCTGTCTGGGAATATCCACAGCAAACTGTTTCTGAGGAACAAAGGAGCCCATTGACCTGTCTGCTTCAATAAAATTCAGATTTCTGGCTATTCATATGATGAAATGTGCACATTCATAACATAAGCACTTTTTAGGCTCTCCCACTCCATTAGTTCCCCAGCAGCTCAAAATGGCAGGAGTAATTCCTTGTGTTCCCACATGCACTTGAGTCCTGAAGGTTGACAGGACCATAAACTGAAAGGAAATATTAGTAACATCTTCCTAACAGATTTCTATCTGCATGTTACATTCACTGGGTGGAAATGTTACTACTAAATCCCTGATGACAAAGGAACAACCAAACACATAGTGGATTTATGGCAGCAGTGTGTTACTATATCACTAGTTTTATGCAGTGCGGGAACACAATGCCAGAACCATGTGCCGGTGCATGAAGATCTAGTGAAGGATGGAATTATGATGTAGTGGTAAAGGGGACCAGGTTAGCAAGTATCCCATACACATTCAGGGTGTGCTTGATAGGGTGACATCGCTCTGAACTGGAAATTTCTTTATTCTATTGCATTTATACTTCACCTGTTTCTCCAGGGAGTTTAAGGTGATACACCTGGTTCTTCTCCCTCCTTATTTAATCCCCACAGCAACCTTGGGAGCTAGGTTAGGCATAGAGGCATGACCATCTTTTGCTTGTAGACAACAATAATTAATTGCTGGTGGTACATTATAAACTTTCTTTTAGGATCAAAGCCAAGGTACTGGTTCAAGGCTAGGTGGCTTTTTTGCCTGTGGTGCAAAAGCCAGTGATTGAGCACTTGAACTATTTTAAGCCTATGTTCTTCTAGTGAACTACAGCCTGAAGCAAAGGTCTTCTCAGTTCTGGGTTATATGGCCTGTCTATCCTTCCAGCCAGGGTTGGCCCAATATGTTTTGGTGTCCAAGGAAAGGCAGTAAATGATGCCTCCTACCTCATCCCACCCCAATACAGGTCAAGCTGCTTTGACACCTAAGGTAGAAAACATCAAAAGTGTCTCTCTTCCCATCCCTGGCAGTGAAAATACCATAACAAAATACTGTAATAACCAACAGTCTGTTGCCCTTTCAGGACACCAAGAATCAGCTGCCTGAAGTGATTGCTTCACTCTGTCTAATGGTTGGGCCAGCTATGTGTCTATCCATCTGGAAAATGGGCCCATTGTCTGTTTGCCTATTGCATAGCTCAGTAAGTGGGAAGCTTGGGTCCCCTTTTTGCACCCATTATTATCTATTGTGGTCAGACTCTGAAAAAGATAATATTGCCTCACATCAACAGGAAGCAAGTCCCTCTGGGATGTAAATGCTCTGAAGTCTCCTCACAGTAGACTCAATTGTATGTATGTGTAATTAGAACCATATAGCTGAAAGACACTGTTGTCTCCACCGTGCCCAGTTTCTGACGGAAACACAGCCCAAGACCCCTGGAATCCCAAAATGCTCAACAGAGATTGGGAGGCCGATTACACTAAGTTATTCTGCAGCAGCCACCATCTTCATGTATGTATGTATGTATGTATGTATGTATTATATTTTAAAGCGCTTTTTGTTCTATAGGATCCCATTCAAATAGCTCTCAACACTATTAAAGCCACAATATCCAGTAATAAAGGAAATAAGCAATGGAGGTAAAAGAGATGTGTCTTAAGCTGATGCAGAAAAGTGAAGGAGACTTGGAGGGAAGCAACTGAACCGCCAAAAGACCCTAAGGACTAATGGGCCCTACCCATTGATGGGTCCGTGAGAAGGACTCTCCATGAAAACTGCAAAGGCTGGGTTGGCAGATACAAGGAAGGAAATGAAAATACGTAGGCTGTACTGACAAAAATCCATGTGACACTGAACAATTCTCTAAGGGGGCTGTACATCTTTTTTGTATTGACTTGATTTGTACAACATTTTTAGGTTGAGTCAAATATATTCCTTTGATTAATAATTAAATATGAAAAGGAAAAATAAGTAGAAAAGCCTCGCTGATTTTAATTTTTGCACCAAATACTGTGTAAAGTTACATCTGTTTTTCTGCATTTGTCGACTAAATGGCTCTCAGGCAAGAACTACAGCAGAAGGATCCTGGGGGGGCAGATGTTGAAACAATTACATTTGGTTTGTCTCAGCTATTTTAAATAGTAAAATGTCCCCAAGTGGAGATAATTGATTTAAAGACTAACAAAATCTTTACCAGGCGATAAAAGTGTCAGCGTAAATTTTACCACAACACCTGCAGTTTCCACATGAGTGGTGATTGAGTTTCTTGGTCGCTTCTCTCACTGGAACAAAGGCATTAAAATGGTGTTGAAGGACACTGGGCCTTTGTTGAACTGCTAACTGCCCATCTGCTGGTCTTTTGATTTAAAAGAATAAAGGATGAATAATTTGAAGGTAAATCTTTTACTTTTTATTCAGTGTGATAAAAGGGAAAAGTGTAGGTCAACATGATGACAATCCATAATTAAACAAACTGATACAGCCTTTTGAAATACAATACATTCTCTGTCCTTCTTTCCCCTTATTTCTAGGGCATGAGATTCCATTCCATAACACGATTATTCTGTAATTGAAATAATTCAGCACAGTGCAGACAATATAACTGCATAGCACACAGGTCACTGCTCCAACAAAACTGGAATGTCTAGTTGACATTTTCCTAAGAAACCATTACTAGATCATGCAGTACCTGAAATGATGATACAACACTTCTAGGGCTAACCTCTCTTATCAAGAACCATTTGCTGTAAAGTATCAGACAATGACAGCAAATTTTACCACAGCAATGACAAACCTAGACAGCATCTTAAAAATCAGAGACATCACCTTGCCAACAAAGGTCTGTATAGTTAAAGCCATGGTTTCCCCAGTAGTGATGTATGGAAGTGAGAGCTGGACCATAAAGAAGGCTGATCGCCAAAGAATTTATGCTTTTGAAT